CAGTGAATTTCCTGTGTTCCTTCTCAGAAGGCAGAAACTAGGCTTGTTCGCAAAGCAATCAGTAATCTAAAGCTAATAATGCCATGAACGATTCTTCAATGAGTCATTGTGTCAGCTGTGTGCTGCCTTGGACTCCTACAAAAATAACAAGGAAATTTTTTATTGCCCAGCTCAGTTTCGCCTCCTCCTTGCTACAAGTGCGTTAGATCGGCACGTTGGCTCCGAGTGGTCTCAGGAATCCATGCCATTTGGTTCCCATCTTCAACTTGGCCGTTTCTGTGTCTTGCATTGTAATCTGTTGCTCTTGCTATGCAGTTGGGTTTTTTTGAGGAAGAAAACTCTGTGAGTTTCCCGAGCTTATGCACTTTGTTAGGGGGAAAAGATGACAACGCGTAAAACTGCTCAAGTGGGTTAATGCAAAGGTAAAGAGACTTAACGTATTGAGTCGGTTTTGTCCACAAGCTACACAGCTGTAGTTTGTTGGCAGGGTAGTGAAATGGCAGATTTCTGTCTGCATTTTTTTCTTGGTTGCTAATAGTTGCCCACTTGCTGCATCTGTTTTTCTCTCTATCCGCCTGTCATTTGCTGTCTCATCAGTTCCTTTTACTCACCCGCTGTCCTGTACAGAGCACGTCTACCTCGTTTTGTTGTGACAGAAGACTGCCTTTAACTCTATATTAAGGTCATATCGGTACTGCTTTTGTTCAGATCATGTCAGTGCTCTCCCATAATAGTGTTTTTGAGGCTTTTAGGCCCAGCAACCCAGTGCCGGGGTGGTCGTGTGTGTCTGCAAACTGAGAAAGTAAACAGGCTTTCTTTTTCTCTTTATTCTATAGGTTTTTTTCAAGGTAAAATTCTGGGAAATAACTGCAAAGTGGCATCCATTTTACTGTACTTTCGGGGCACTCATTTAAACCTGCAGAGTTGGCAGAGAAAAGACAGTCTTTGTCAGTGCAGGCCCAACCCGAGTTTTGAAAATGAAGCCTAGTAGGTCCTGAAGGAGTTGTACGCACGAGAAATGAAGCTGTGAAAGCTGTTCGGTGGTTTTAAGTGTTACCTGGGAAGTGCCTTCAGTTCTTCCAGTTACAGGCTCTGCTGAGGTATGTAGGAGCAAGAGGAGAGTAGAATCCAGCTCCGTCTCCCAGAAATGTAGTTGGCTGTTAAACAGCTTGTTTTGTCACTGAACTCCATGGAGGTGGTGCTGGCAAAAGGCCCCTCATTGACTGATTACTTGGTGAAAACCTTCTGAAGCAGGTTGATGCCATCTTAAAAAGCCACGTTCGGGGGCAGGGGGGGGTGAGGAAAAACTTTGAGTTACGTTTGGTTTTCCTCTTCTCTTCCTAAATCTGTGAGAAGAATTAAAATAAATAAAGAAGGAATGAAACCCTAATACTTCTCACCCCTCTTGGGTTTTGGGTGGGTGGGGTTTTTCTTGCTGCTTCTCTGTCACATTTAGAATCCCCTTAGAGGGTTTGTCTGTAACAAGCAATCTCTTATTTAAATGAAACTAATAAAGCAATGAAGAAGCTTCTAGTGCAACTGTTCATCTCCTAATTAAAGATCAGTTCTGTCAAGCAAGCAGTTTTTGGCTGTTCTCTTTTGTATGGGTTTCACAATAATTCTTACTCATCTCAGCACAAGTTGTAGTAATTTATACTTCCATCATGCAAACACACAAGCTTAATTTCAGGCATGCGAGTAGTCCTACGGAAGTAAATGGAACTCGTTAGGCACATGAATAAGTATTTCCAAGGTTGAGGCCCTTGTCTGAATCTAAATATTTTTCCTCTTTGATCAGTTTTTGAGATAGCAGATACTTGAATTCTAGTAATATTTTAGTAAGGGGGGGAAAAAAAACCCAACATGGTTATCTGAATGCTGTGCTATTTATGGTGAGATATATTTTCAACCTCCAGGGCTAGAATGGAATGCTTTGTACTGCTGCAAGCTGGGAATCCTTCCTAGCTCTGGTGTGTTTTGACACATTAAGTCTGAAAACTCTCTTTTTTTTTTGTCTTGGCTTCAAGGTATTTTTTAGGCACTGATCCAGTACTGAGTGGTGTATGCGTGTGTGAGATAACTTGGAGAGCTGCAGTTTTTAATCCGCAGTGTTACTAGTTGTAGGTGTATTTTTCTTGCTTTGCTTTTTGATAAATAGATTTTCCTAATGCAGCATGACTAACAAGACATACTTTTAGTAATTGGAAGCATTTAAATTACTTAAATAATTTGAGCCAGTATTTTAAAAACAAAATGTGACTTGGCTTTTAATTGTTCCTGGTATTTGGGAGTTGAGAGAGTGGAACAACTTGTTTGAGAATGTGCTGATGTTCATCAGTTATCAGACAAAATGTCTACGGGGTTTTATCATGTAGCCTAAACTTGCCGGCTAGATTTGGAGTTAAGTCTCCAGCTGTGAGCCGCACCTTCCATCCTGTGTGGTGTTTACAATAGTAGGTGAAATACATTTTATACGTTACATGTCTTTCAGGTATAATACTATTTGAAAGTAAGGTTAAATGCACTAAAAAATAAAGTTGTTGGATAAACTCGTGGAAACTATTGTGTACTTTGGTTATGTTCCATTTATCCACTCGATTGTGTTCTGCTTTTTGCGTAGTATACAAGTGATATAGTACTGGGGAACTGAAGGATATCTTCAGCAAACCAAGAGATGCTAGGAGGTATTCGGTTAGGAACTGGGGGAAAGAGGAGAAACTTTTGTGCTGAGTGCTCCCCACAGTCTGCCTAGCAAAGACAGCAAGAACATATTTCTGGTCTTAACTCAGCAGTTTATTCCATCTCTAATTTCTGTGATTTTTATAATTCAGTGGTCTGGAACTATTTCAGCTCTTGGAGGGTTGTGAGGGGAGCCCGGGGGGGACGGGGACTTGTTACTACTTCATCTCTAGTATAGCTGAACAAAGGCCATCGGCGTCCTGCTTCGCTGACTTCACCAAATGCCTCTGAAGCCAAGCTGAGCAACTGGAGGGAGAAATGTAGTGTGGGAGAGGACCTAGAGATCTGTCTCACTGCTTCCCGTGAATGTGCTGAGTGTGCCAGAGCGGCTTCGCCGTGATCATGACCTGCTGCCGGCCCTGCTTCCCCACCATGGCCCTCCCTCCTGGCTTTGGAGAAGAAAGAAACTCAGGAAACTGGCTCGCGGCCAAGGGGCTCCGGCGCTTCCGGGAACCTCTCCCGGCATGCTCTGGCTCCCTGCGCCCTTTGACGCAGGCGGCATTGTTCAGCAGAGCGGAGCGCGGCTCTGCTGCTGGCAAGGCTCAGCCCAAAAGGAGTGAGCCCTGAGCTGGTGTGGTTCTGGGGGGGGCGGGGCCTCGCGGGGAGGCCTCTTTCGATGGGTTTTTAGCGTTAATGTTTCTGATTCTGTCAAAGCTAGCTGGCTGCTTGTAAGTCCTGACGGCTTATACTGAAGGATCACACCTAAGACTGTGCTTGCAGTCAGGACCTCAGAATAGGAAGCTGGGGGATTCTGGCTCCCGCTCAGTAAGACTTCTGCGTGCATGCTTTCTGCTCGAGCAGAAAGAATTCCCTGTTATTTCAGTGTCACTGTATGCTGCTGTATAAAAAGCTTTAGGGTTTTCTTTCCGAGTAGTTAAAGTCAGCATCTTACATATTAAGAACAAAGTGGAAGTTTTTACATAATCTCTAGACCACTACAGTTTAAAGTTTGCTCTTTAGGCTTGAACAGATAATAAATAACTGTGAACTCAAACAGAAATAGCGCAAGAGAACTGACTTCATTTTTGTTTGTGAATTGTTTCTTTTGCTGCAGTAGTGTGCCTGGAGTAATGGTAGGTGCTTGGTAGGAAACACCGTGGGATAAAGCTTTTCACTGAAATGCTTCATTAAAGTATTTCTGTTAGTAATATTAGGTTTTTGTGCAGCTCTGCTGAGTGTGAGGTTGGAAGAGGTATCTGTGGGACTCTCCTACATCGATACGTGGTGTTCTTTTTCTAGTGCAGACTTACCATGGGAATATCGATCTTTACCAAGTGGATCTGTTTGAACTGAGGGGGAAAAATATGAGAGTAGTTTCTTTCAGCTATAATAGTCATAATTGTGTTCATTTAGAACAAAAAGTGACTTAAATTATACATTCTTTTTTCATGAGTACATGTATGGCTCTAAATGTGGAGCTAAATTTCTAGAAAGTTTTGAGAAAACGCTAGTTTTGTTTTTTCAAAGGAGAAGTTGTTGCCTTGAGGTAGATAGCACACCCCTGGCTTTGTCGTTTTTCTGTGGTAATTCAAGGAAAAAATCTGGGTTTCTTAATTCCCTCTTCTTTTCCATAATTAATAACGGATAGACTTCTGCCTCCCTTTAACTGCAGTTTCTGTTGCTTATGTTGTCTGCATGTTCCGATAATTTTGGAACAGTTAATACAATTTGAGCTAAAATCGACTTCCTACTTGTCTCAAAGATGGCAAGTTCTTACAGTTTCATGAAAGTAGCGACCTTGTTAGGAAGAAATGGTAGCACAAACTCTAACGTTATTAAATGCCACAGAATCCACCTAGGAGGGAGGTAGTTGGAATGTCTCCGCTGCAGGAGAATTTTCAGTGAAAGTTTACACACCAGGTAAGAAGTCCATCAACAGGGCAAAGCCAACTGTGTTAATTCCTAGCATATGGCACTATTTGTTACGAGAAGAAGATGACCCACGAGCTATTACGCTAATGAAAAAGAAAGACCTATCAGACGGTGGGTTTGAGAGCTCCAGTTCTGCTTCTGCTCTTACTTCTGTTTGAGACCTTAACCATATTCATAGTAATTCTGTACTTTGAATCAACTGTAATGGACTAATAATTGGCTGAAGTATAAGAACAAAAAAGTCTTTTTTTGTTCTCTTGTTAGGGCATTGTGGAAGTATAAAATGTCTTTGTTTTTAAACATGAATGTTGAGAACCAGCATAATGTTGAGGACAAAAAAAAAAAAAAAAAGAAGAGTTCAGTAAACTTATGTTATTTCTTCTTTCCAGGTTTCCTCTCAAAAAACCTACAAGGTAAGTTACTGAAGTCTTACGGCTTATCTATATTGCAAGTTATGTCATAGCCTTTTTGAAGAAGGAGTACTTTTAGAAGGCAAATACAGGTACAGACACCTAGGTGGCAATATCCCTTACAGATGTGAGGAAATTAAGTATCTGGATCTGGACTGGGTGCCCAAAACATGACTGGATGACAAATTTAAAGTGCATGGCATAGTGCTACCATTTGCATTTGTTATGTGCACTGGCTAATTTAATCTGGAATTTGAGATGGCCAGAGAAAGTGGCACTAGGCTGGTGCATGATGTACAGACACTTCCTTCAGGGGGTATTTTTTTCTTAATCTGTAATTTTTGCATACAAAGATTTAAGACTTACCAGGAGAGGAGGTGGAATTACGGAAGATTTGAAGAGTTTTTTTCAGCTTTATGTAACTTAAATTTATTTTGCGTTTAAAATAAAATATCATCAGCTTTTGAGTGATGAGAGAGAGTATACTTGCTCCTGCTAATCTGAACGGTTACAGAAACTGTTCCTAGAACCCAGATACACTTTTAAATGTTCTGAGGGGGATAACTTTTCCTCTTGACATTCAGTCTGATCGGGAATGATTTTTGAGGTGAACTTAACGTATACATTTTTGTTGTTTAAGTTCCTTGTTAGCAAATGGAGCTACTGAAGCTTATTTGCAAAGAAATCGCCAGTTAGGCGATGCTTTTGCGGTACAGTAGTCAGGATGGTCTTCTTTGGTTTGACGCAGACACGGCAGCATTCTGAGCAGAGAGTCTCCAGCTGACAAGAAGCAGAAGGTTGAACGCTGCAGTAGTACGCACGACTTTGATCCTACAGGTAAAATCTTACAACTTCACAAATGAAAATCTAGACTTCAGTTTGAAAGGTACTCAGAATTGGAATAAGAAGGATTCTGATGTGTTAATGAGTGTGGTTTTCAAGAGCTGTGTTGTGCTCTGTGATTGCAAAGCCTTTTTGAATCATCCAGGCATTGAAATGAATATTGGCTTGCTTTTAAGCATGCTTATCTACAAAGTGGCTGTTAACTGTGCAAGAATAAATCTATATTTGTGGTATCAGTGAATAGTTGTAGCTACTTCCCATTTCAAAAAAGCTAGTCTGAAATTTCAATGGGCAAATATTGTCATTAGTTGGTTCTTTTGGGTGGTTTAGTAGGGGAAAAAGTGAGACAGAGATCTTAGTGTCGACCGGGGCTGGTATTCTTTGAGGGGGGCAGTTTGAGCTTCAGTAGATTTTGAACCTTCTTTGTCACGTCTAAAGTTAATCTGTACTTTCCCACATGATATATTTTAAGATAAAGTTAGGGGTTTCTCTTTTTGAAAGGATGTGCTATTCGATTTTTTTAAATCTTCTGTGAAATCTGGGTCGACTTGGTCAGCACTGCTGTCTTGGCAATGAGGATGCATGCAGGGATTCTTACTTCTCTCTCTGAAACGCTAACCCAGTGACTACCGTGGATGTTCATGAAATGCATGACAGGCTCTTGTCTGAGCCTCCTGGCCCCATGCAATGTGTGTGTTTTTCATGTCTGTGCCTTCTGCTGTTTAGTGCAGTCATTGCCCTCAGGGCTTGTGGAACAGATGAGAGTTGAATCTAAAGGTTGTAGAACTTGTAGAATGTGTTTGTGCACATTGTGGTTCAAGCTTGTGTTTATAAACCATCTTGTTCGTTAATGTTTCCTTCCACTAGCTGCATGACTCCTTGCTGTGCACAAAATAATTGAAATGGACTTCTAAAGTCTCTTTAAGAAAAAAAAAAATCCTATAGAGGAGAGTGTCTAAATTAGTAGCTGTTTTTCCCTTTGTCCTTGGGAATAGGTAAAGTAAAATTATTCCAGGTTTGGGTAGGTGGGAGAAGGTCTCAGACTATGAACCTGTCTTGCAGAGAGCGTTTATCTACTTTAGAAGCAATCTTAATTTGATAAAAGTAATTCTGTTTTTTGAGAACTGTTACCTGCTATGATGCTTACTGTCAAGTCTGGTGGTTGAACTCTACACTGTAGCCTGCATAAAATTCCTTTCTTTTTAAGAGGTGGATTCAGAATACTGCGCTACTATGCACATGTCTGCCATTTACCCTGGAGATAAATGTCACAGGATTTCTATGCGTTGACAGTTTTTATCCAGAGTGTTTTCTGTAGTCCACTTACTGGCATAGCAGAGAATTTGTTTTATTGTGTTTTAGAATCTGTAGTAGATAGTTTGTGGTTTTACTTGTGTCTTCATGCTTGAATTATTCACACCTTATTCCAAGTGTTTCACCTATGTGTTGTTCACATCTTATTTGTGTTTTGCACGATTTAACCTAATAAATCAATCTGTTTTTCATGATTTTTTTTTTCTCATGTTTGGTCTCCATATTTTCTATATCTCTCTCTCCTTTTCTCCTGCTCTCGTGCAGATAGCTCCTCCAAGAAGACAAAGTCTAGTTCAGAGGAGAGTAGATCCGAGACGTATGGTAAGCTAAAGCAGCTGCTGCATCCTTGCACCTTTGCAGTCTGCTCGATGCTTTCTATCTGTGCACCTAAGGCTTTTACCCTTTACGTGATCCGCATGGTTGGCTCTGCAGCAGGGAGTGGGAAGCTGGGTTTAAATGTTGCCTCACTGTATCAGCTTGTAGTTCTTGTAGTGGCTGGAAACTAACTTAAATGTGACAAGCGCAGGCTGTCATCTGTAGTCTCCTGCTCTCTGTTCATAGTTGGGGAAACTTGCTGGGGCTGCTGTTCTTTGGGATCTTGTGCCACCGAATATTCTTGTCAGTGGATGAAGCTCGTACTGGACTCGAGAAGAGTTTTTGTGGCTGTAGGAAAGTCTATGTCTTCTTGTAACTGTGGAGGTTAATCTGGATGAGCTAGCAATTCATCTTTTTGCATTACTTGTAAAGGATCTCATATCAGTTCCTTTTAATGTTTCCTAGAACTGAAAAACCATATGTCTAGATATAATTTCAAAAAACGTAAGCATATGAACTTACTGCCCTTCATTCAAAAAAGGGAGAAGTTTCCCGGCAGTCCTGTCTTGCTGTGTATTACTGTGTGATGAGCTTGTGGACTGAGACAAATTAACATGTAGCGGTTTGGGATAGGAGTAAGCCACGAGTACTTACGTTGCCGGTGCACCTTGACATGTGCTGTAGGAAAGATTGTCTACCAAAGACAGCCTGTTAGCTCATCCTTCCTTCTTCAGCTTACATCAGATATGTCTTTTGGCTGTGACACTCTCCATCCTGCCTTTGTGTTACCAACTTGTTTAATTTGTGACCTCTGAAGAGATTTGCACTCATATCTTAGAAGCTAACAGGTAGTAAGTTTTCACAAGTTGATAAGTGGTCTTTTGAATCCTACCAGCTTCTAAGACCCTTGAACGTCAGCTAAATCTGGGCAGTACTGCTACGTTTCATGTTTCTAAACATGTATATCCAGCTGTGTTTTGACTGCAGTCAGTGGGCTGTCTTCCTTTGCCTTTTCTGATACTGAAAATAGTCTGTGATAACTTTCTGTTTCTGATTTTTCTCTGTTGGGAATTTTCTTGCTGCATATCTCCCTCCTGACTTTTGGACAGAGTGATAAAAATCAGTGACTCTTCCAGTATCAACTTCATTATTCCGCAGTAATAAAACTAATAGATGTTTATGGCTGTGATCAAACTGCTTAAACCACCTCTATAATACAAAAACATGCTATCATAACTCTTATCTAAGGAACGTTGAAAAACAAAAACCTCTCAAACGTTTCCTTCTAAAGCAGCATATGTACGTTAGCAAGAAGTCTTTAGTTGGTGCAATTTACAGAGGCGTAGTCTATTCCTTCTGTGAAAGTGAGATCTTCTTTTCCTGGAATTCTGATTCACAAATATTTCTTATATTTAAAAAAAAAAAAAAAAGCAAGTAATAACATGGCACAGTCATGTTCTTAAGGTGTGAGATATTGCTCTTCAGAGACTGTAAGAGGGTTTTGAGCATGCATTGATTTGCTTCAGCAGAGCTGGAAATCCGTCTTAAAGACACCTGCCCTGCTGTAGCTTGTATGTCTTTCTCCCATGCTCAGAAAGACTGAGCAATGAAATGACCTGCTTGAAAAGCGTATGTTTTGGGGAGGTGCTCCTGACAAGCTTATGTTGTGACCAGTTCTTCCCCTAGCTAGGTGAACGGTGGTTTGTGACAGCGAAGCCAGATTGACTAGATCACTGTGTTTTGAACCATCGTTAATTTTTGCCTAATGTTGCTTACCCATAATGTACTGGAGGTACTGTCAGGCTGTTCCAGGTTAATTACAGGAAACATGTGGTATGCTTAATGGAATGTATCTGTGTTTATACTTCTCTCTCAGTTTGTACACTGTCCTGAATTTTCATGTGTGGAAGAAAGAAACATGACTTCCTAACCGAAGTCTTTACTTCCCCCAAAGCTTCCTGCAGATGCTCTATCCGTGTCCAGGATCTATGGGAATGGTTTCCAGTCATCCTTCCTTTCTGGTGGCCTTTTCTGCATTGGGCTTTGCTCTGCCTTTTGTCTCTTCCCTCGATTTTTCCCGAGTTCTGTGGTATGTGTACAGAAGTCTGCTATTTGCTTTGGATAGGACCGAACTATTTAAAAACATACAAGCAGAACTACTGTACTGATATTTTTCTTGCTGGTGACTGGATGTTAACTGGCTCTTTCTTTGCCTTGCCGTTGGAAACTGAATAATAGAAAACTCTTGAATGACAACAGGAAAATGAGGTGTGACTTTCATGCACGTGTGTGTTCTTACCTCTTGAAATTCTTAATTAAGGCCAGAATTTCTTGAAGTACATGAGTGGCTTGGGGGAGGGTAGTTAGGTAGAAAAACCATTCTGATATACAGAATTTGATTTATAGCGATATCCAACTTAGCGTGAGTTTTCCTTCATAAATCCCACCGTCTCATATCTGTGCATTCAACAACGTCTAGATGATCAGGGGAGAGATTGAGTGTAATTTTAGATCTGCGGTAATTTACCAGTTGGTGCCATAACCTTCTACAATATTGGTTATTTCTTTCTCGATGTAGAATTGCTGTCATTGGAACAAATTTAAAACTGAAATTAGCTTTTGCGGTAGTAGGTGAGTTATCAGTTACTCTTCCCCTTACTCTTCCCCTTTCCCCATGACTTAGTTGCTCTCCAAAGATACCTTCCTTTATATTTAGTACTGTGACCTATTTCAGGCCCAAAAGTTAGGCTAGACCCGTTGCATATTCTTGCACGTGTTCTGTCCACCTTTGGGATAGGCTTTTTCTTTTTTGTGTTGAAAATCCAGGTTTTGTCCCTGTTCACTTACTCTTGAATTGAATCGTAGAGAATCTTTCTTTACTCTTCCTGTTTTGTGTCTTGCCGTTCTCCCCAGCCTTGTGTCTTTGTGTTGTGGCCACCATCTTTGCAGCCTTTCCAAAGGACTCTTGGGACCCCCTCATCACTACCCTTATAATAGCCAGAAACGGCTTGGAGTGCAAGGGGCGCTCGACCACAGGGATTGAATGTGTCGTTTCCATGGGAGCAGATAGTCCTAGTTATAATGGTTAAAATACATTGTTCTTTGTTTCTAGAAAGGTTACCGAGCCTTGCGTTATGAATGGTTTTCAGTGCCATTGTTGTTAACAATTTTATCACAACGTTATGTACTGCGCTACTTTCAAATAGTGTCCTTTTTGCTCTGAGTTTACATGACTTCTGTTACCGGGTTAGTGGAGGAATCTGAAGAATGCTGCTAATATGGCATTTGGTATGAAGACCGTGGTAATAACTAGAATTAAGTGAAATTCAGAGTTTCATCCTATGAGAAGCTTTCATTATGAAAGCTGATCATTTCACTTTATTTATTTTGTGGAGTGGGGATTCTGAAATATTTTTTAGAAATGTTAAAGCTTCCCAGCTGAAGTGAAACATTTGGACATTCTCAAAACCCCAAAGAGTATGGGTTTGTTTATTGAGTGATTCATTTCAAATCACTTCTATATTAAATTGCATTTTCCCATTGTGGCCTAATGCCTCCAGGGGAGTTATAGTTCAGAAGTCTCCTCCCATGCAACGTCCCACACAGCTTGATCAGAGGAAAAATTGCATTATATTATGGGAGATGTAATTCGTGTCTCCGTTCTCTCTTGTGAGTCAGGTTTTCAGAATGAACTCCTGCGCTGTTTGTTATGCGCTGGTAGTGAAATAAAATTTTCTGTTTTATTGAACAGCTTCAGAATATTTACGGTCTGTAGAAGAAGAGAAGAGAAAATCTTTTAACTAAAGAAGCTCTTGGATAATCAAAATGTATCTGTCAAAACTGGTGGAGATCATCATTTTTACCATGGGATCTCAGTGACCTTGAGAAGTTAGGACTTTGCCCTTTCCTGTTGCCCACAAGGAGCACTTGTAACAGGGCTGGAGAACTGGGCCACAGTGTTTCAGAGGGAATAGTGCCACCTATTGAAGAGCTGATCGTCTTAGTTTTTCTTGTAATTCCTTTTTTCTGAGGCTGGTAATTTCTAGCTGCTTTCATTTCTAATCTCAAACCTGCTTAACAGTTACCTGTCTTACTGTGCTCTTGGCTTGAGGCAATACCAATGAGCTTGAGAAATTCTAATATGCATGAAGATGAGAGTAGATTTTTAAGATTTTTTACCCCTTTTGCCCCCGGAGTTTTAAGTATCTACTTGAAATATGAATATGTAGTGTAATTTTAACCTAGCTGCAGTGATGTCTGATAATTTCCTGCCATAGGGATGTTTTCATGTGAAAATGAATGTGGGAATAAGATCAGTATTGATTTGATGTTCAATGTTGTCAATGAGGAGTTCAATGTACCTTGTAATCTTTACTAAGCTTCAGCTGGAAAAATGGAATATTATGGTAAGATCTTTCAAAATGAGTGGCCTGTGGTTTCCTTCTAAGGAGCACTAAGATTTGGAACACAAAAGCAAAAAAGATGAATGAAAAGCTGATTGCTGCTTACGAACTTGGGTCTGAGATCATTTTTGCTCTTTATTCTTGCACCAAATTCATAGGCTTAACTTACAGTGGGTGAAGTTGCTACACAGTCGGTAGCCTAATGTTAGGCTTCCTGGATGTACTTGTGATATCAAGGCATGACAGTAACGGCTGTTGAAAACTTACATTGCGTGTCATTGCTGGGCTCTCAGTGGTTTGTGGCTTTCCTTTAAATCCATTCCAGAGAGTCTAATGAGGTGTTCAAGGTACAAGACATGGGTTATGAAAATGCTGCTGCTTTGTTCTTAAAATTCAATCACTGGGCAGATTTTGAATTGAATGTAGATTACTTAAAGAACAAAAGTGAGCAAATGACAAGTTTGGGGGAGTTCTGTGCTGCTTCTTTCTCACAGCAGAGAGAAGCAGTACACTGGAAGACTTGTTCTTTTTGGTCTACCTGGTCCAGACAGGAGGTGTAATTGAAGCTGACCTAGTTCCACAGGTGATAGTGTTATCTTCAGAGAAGCTGCAAGTCATTTCATTGAAATTGGTGTAAGGTGACTGTGTAAGTCGGTCAAGTATGGTACCTCTCAGCTGGCTACCTAGACCTTATTCCAGCCCTTTGCATTGTGTTAGGGAAAGGGCTAAGTGCCTACTCTTATGAAGTGAACAAATACAGGCAAAAGGCAATAATTAATTTAGGTTCCCGTAGTCTTAGTTTCAGTTGTCTCCCTGTTGGTTAGATTGTTTGTCCTATAAAATTAAAAGGTGGTCTTGAGTGAAATTGAGACTTGTGGTGGGAAAGCATTTAGCGTAGTATTTCTGGAACTTAAATTATACTCCATAAGATCAGCTTATATTGCATCTCCAAATGCATTGCCTCTGCTTTGGCATCAGACTCATTCAAGGAGAACGCTTCTTAGTGCAATAGAGCCAAGGGTTATTGGTTCTGGAAATGGAAGAAATTCAGTGGACAAACAGTGAGCAGGCAGGACTATGCTGTGCCTTTAAACGAGGAAAGTTCTGATGAGTCAAAAGATTAAGTTAGTGTCTTACTCATAAAACCTGTGCGTCTGGCAGTGGAGTTTAAAACGAGCTGTTTTTATGAAATAGCATGTGTTCTCTTTCCCACACCCCACCCTGAGGCATCATTCTTATGAAGTGAGCCTTAAAGAAGCTTGGTCATATAGAAAAATGGGAGGTGCAAGAGGGAGAGGCATATTTTTTTCACTTAAACATATCAGGAGGGTGTGAAAGCTGATGTTTTTTTCCCCATCTGCTTTCACCTTCCATCCGTTTATTGCCGATTACTGTGTATAGCATAATTGCTTCTACTATATCAGTGGAAGAGGAGTTACTGGGAGATGATACTGTGCTCATACTGCAGCCTAAGTGCTGGAATTCAACCTTTTCCACCTACGCCCGTTTGCGCACATGCCGTACTTGAGAAACAGGGCTGAATGGGCGGACAGTGTTTGCACTTGAGGCTCCTCGTTTCCATCAGGAGTTGCCTGAGAGAAGTGGAAGGAGCTGTATTGGTGCAGGAGTGATGTAAGGCATGTGACTCCACACTCGCTTACAATTGATTCCTTAAAAATGATTCCAGAAAAGACAGTCTTGGTGGGGCAAGGTCTTCACAATTTCCTTTCATAGAATCACAGAATTTCTTCCCTCCATATGAAATGGAACTTCTGCAGTTTTGGTATCTGATCTTGGAAGAAGACTGTTCTTTCTCAAGATCCTGATGTAAGGATTTTGCCTGCTGCAGCTTTGGAAATGAAGAAGCGAAGCAAGCTGTTAAAAATAAGGGAGCTCTTTAGTAACTGGTGGGTTTCTGCTATGCAAATAAGAAAACATCCTTGAAGTATTTTGCAGAGTTCCTGAAGTTGCTTTTCAAGATAAGGGCTCCGCTGTGGTAGGCCTTTTTTCAGATGCTCCGAGGCAAGTGCTTCCTTCTGCAAAGAATATGCTGGGGCTTCTAGGTTCCCCCCGGTCCATTTTCAGGTGAACAATAGACACATACAGCAAGCCACCTTTTCAAAATGCTGCATCTAGTGAATTCGTTAGTGGGAACAAATACTGTTGCAGACAATTCTGAGTAGTCCAAACACCTGGAAACAACAATTTGCTTTTGATGTCACAGCAAGTTAAAAGGAGGAGCAGATTAGGACGCAGAGCTCCTGGGATTTTGGCCCTGTACCTCGATAGCTTGGTGGGAAGCAGGATACTGATTTCGGAAGGCTTGTCAAGTGTAATAAAAGTGGCTTGTACTTCTTCACTGCTACTCTTCTGGTTTTATGGAATATTCTCATCTGGAGTGGCAAGTGCCCTGAGATGAAATTTTTGCTGAGAATAGGGAAAAATTTTCCCGATTTAATAAATTCGTTTTAGTCCAACCCACTGGTGTGTGTTTGAGATATGTGTGCCTTTTAAAAAAAGTAGCTTGTAAGGTCTGGTGTTTTTGATGGTGTGTTAGAACATGACAGCCCTATGCCATACTTTGAAGAGTTATTGATATAGACAGGGAAATTGGTTTGTGTACATAGTTGTTCTTCTTTAAAAGCTGCCTTTACCTCAAGTTGTGTCTGATGTGCCAGAGCTGTCTGCATCTCTGCTGTTGTATATCTCTGTTTTGTGTAACTGAAGCAATAAGCTTGACCTGTCCTGACATTGCTATCTGTTTCTGGACTGATGCCCTGTTTCTGTCTTTCATATATTTTTCCCCTCTGTTGTCTTGTACCAGTTTCTTTCAGTGCTCTGTGATTATCTCAGAGGATAAGGTTTTGGACTGATGCCTAGCTTGTGTCTCTTTGTATTTCTCTCCCCCTCTTTCTTCTGCCCTTTCCCCACCTTTTTATACAGGTCTTGTTCAACGGTGTGTCGTTATCCAACGGGATGAAAATGGATTTGGGCTGACGGTCAGCGGAGACAATCCGGTCTTCGTGCAGTCAGTCAAAGAAGGTAAGCAGACATGCTAAACACATTAGCTAGAGAGCAGCCTACAGGGTTTTCGTGTGAATCAAAGAAACGCAGGCGTGAGCTGGAGGAGAAGACTCCAGGTTCTTTTCCTTAGGGGTGGGATGGCTGCAGCTATCACAGACTTTGGACTAGGTGTGCAAGGACAGCCTTGCACTGTTGAGAGGCAGTGAATCCCCTCTCTTGCATCAGATGTGTCTGGAAACTGGCATCTTGCACTTGAGGGGAAATGAATGCGTGCATGTAACTTTGTGGGATTGTGGCTTGGCGTACCCACTGCAAAAAGAGAGCAGAATTGCTGTAGCGTAGATACTCATGAGATTGTAATCTGGTGGAGAAAGAGGAAGCTTGGGTGAATACGGGAAGTAATTTTGCGTGGGACTAAAGAAGTGCTTGAACCGTTTTTGCTTTGAGTGTATCTGTTAAAACTGGAACTGAACTATTTCTTGCCCCTCTAGATGGAGCAGCCATGCGGGCTGGAGTGCAAACAGGAGATAGAATTATCAAGGTAAGGGCTTTCAAAACATCAGGGAAATGGACTCTTTGTATTAAATGAATTCTTTCATTGAACGAATGTCACTGATATGTCTGCACTGCTGTTTGCTTTTGCCTGTGGGGTAGCAGACGGTCTAAGTCTTCCTGTTCTAGGGATGTGCAGTAACCATCGGAAGCTCACTGCTGAATGTTAGTGTTGTTGTGGAGAACACACTCATTTTAGAACCATGTTGATGAGTCTGGTACCCTATAAGGTTCAAACATCTCACCCAGAAAAGAAGTGGCAGGGGCAATGAGCAGAGAGGTATTGATAATTACCTGTAAATAAATAGTCTCTTTGGATTGCTTTTTTCCCCCTAACTGCTAAGAAATCAAGCTCTAAACCACAACTGCAAAATGACGGCTTACCAGAGATAGAAATGGGATTTCAACCAAGTATATAAATGTATGAATTCAGTTAGCTAGTCTGAGTATTTTTTGTGCCCAGTTAGAGGTGGATTGATTTTGTTGTTGTTGTTACGTTGGTGTTTTGGTATGTGTGTATGGCTTGCTTTTTGCAGAACTGATTAACTGTTAGAGGGAAATTGATTATTTGGTGGATGTTGTAATGGTGGGGAGGGAAGAGGAAGGGAGGGGGAGAGATCTCTACTTGTTCCTCGCTCTATTTCATTGCTTATTGCATAGCATGTGGTACCCAGAAAGATTTCTACCTTTTTTGGAAATCAGGAGTTAAACTGATTGCTTTCTCCTTCCCGCTCTCCTTCCCCCCCCCTCCCCCCCCAGGTGAATGGCACTCTAGTAACACACTCAAACCATTTGGAGGTGGTAAAGCTGATCAAGTGTAAGTAAAGGCGGGTTACTAATTTTTTTTTCCACTGTGCTCCTTTAAAGCATGAAAGAGACCACTGATCGATTCAGCTATCGAGTGGCAAGGGAAAAGTCTAGCTATGTTGTTGGCTGCTGTATGACTGATCTGAGAGGTGTGGGGTGTGTATGAGACAGATGCAGTAAAGAAATTGGAGGTAATTTTGACATCTCAGACTTGAGCTGATGCAGCTTCTGCAGTTTTTCCTTCGCTTGATGTTTGAAGTTACCTTCAACCCTTACCCATACATCTTCCCTTGTTTTGATTCTAACTTCAATACCGTAGTTATTCATGCACTGTTAATATAGATCTGTACAATGCCTGCAAAGTAATGGCATTTGCAAACAAAGTGAATTCTTGGTTGATTTCCTTGTGCAGGAGAAAGTTGTTACTGGTTCATTCCAAACTAGCACAGTTTTTAATTTTTGGTATCAGCATATGCATAAGGTTAATACTTCAACTTGGTGGACTAGAAATTGCACCGTGTGATTTTGTTAGGGATGATTATGATGAAAGGCATTGGATTACTGGAAATTTAAGTGGAGACCTCTGGAGTGGAGCTGACAGTGCTCTCGAGTTCTCTGGTGTGAAGAATAAAGGGGTGAAGAATGGTCTGAGTCAAGACTCTCTCTTGGGGGAGAGTAAATGGGAACTGTAGAAATCCGCGAATGTCTGAAGTGTGGATTTTTCTCGTTCTCCCTGCAGCGGGTTCCTATGTAGCTCTCACTGTTCAGGGGCGCCCGCCAGGGTCGCCCCAAATTCCATTAGCTGATTCTGAAGTGGATCTGGCAGCATTTGGGCGTATGTCTCCCATCATGACATCTCCCCATTCGCCTGGCACATCAGGAAACGCAGAAAGGATTACTAGCCCAGTACTTATGGGGGTAAGATTTAAAGCGCTCTTTCCAAAGAGTAGTTTAGCAGTGGAAAAAATGTAGTCATGTATTTTCTCTCCAAGGAATTGTTTTGCTCTTCTTGCACAAATCACAGATTGGAATTGGAATTCTTGTCCTGCCACCCAGTGGACATATAGCCGCATGGGGGGAAGAAAAAATCTTAACAAGTAAATATCCTGTCCCATCTGAGATAACGCAAAGGCAGCTGACCATTTTTCACAGGTTGTCTTTGAGATACACTGCCAGAATTTGCATGATAGGAGCTTACACGATGTCTAGTCCAGGCCAGTCATTCTGTTAACAATTGGGCTGTACACACGCTCAGACATGTGGCAAAGAAGAGTGAGGAAAGCAAATAAGCAGACACTTCTGGTCAGTTTGGGGGGGTTTGTTTGTTTTGTTCTTATGTTGACTGCTGTGTTCAAAAGTAGGACTGAGTGGTTATATCCTGTATAGGATAGGGCATGAAAAAACTTGAATCCCTTCTTGTAGGGGTTTTCAGTGACCGTGTTCAGGAAGTAGGTGAGAAGTGGGTATATGTCTCTTCTCTATCTTCCTTTCCTATTCTCAGCTCCACCAAAAAGCTGACTTTCTAATTTCTCCCTGTTTCCTAGGAAGAGAACAATATTGTCCACAGCCAGAAAGTGGAGATTCTGAGAAAGATGCTACAGAAAGAGCAGGAGCGGCTGCAGGTACTGGAGTTGCATATGTTCAGGAGGGATGGAGGAAGAGGAAGGGGATGATGTAAACACAAAGATGGGCTGTTGAATCACTAGTTAGTAGCATCCTCGTTTCCTTGCATAGCTTATGTTCCAGTTTGGCTTTGCTGTGTACTGGCCTAACATCAGGATGTCCGATCACTCTTAACTGATCGTCTCATGAGTTTCTAATCCTTGACAGGGTAGGAAAAAAAAATTGTGAGGGATTTCTTAAATGTATACATCCCTCCGTCTGGTCTAATGCTATGGCACGTGAGCATCTTTCTCTCTCACTGAGAGTCAGTTCTCACTAGGAGCTACAATCTGCATGACAGTTCTTGGTGACACTGAGTTTTCGTGCCTTCAGGGGTATGCTCAATGTGGTTGTGATTTACTTGAATAAACCTTGAAAATGTGGATATTTTCGTTTGACACGGGAAAGAGGGAAGGTCTATATAAAACAGACGTTCTGTGGTGTCTACTTGATATAACAGTAGGTGTGCTATATATTATTTCAGATGTGTTAATGAAGTGAAGGTGTTAATGGAATGAGTGAATAGGTTGTAGATCTAAGTTTTGATAGTGAGGAAATAGTTAATTAAATGAAAGTTCATAAAATTATTTTTCAGTCTCTGCAAGAAGAGTATAGCCGATCGCCCACCTCACGACTGCTCAAAGAGATACAGGAAACAAAGAAGCACATTCCTCAGCTGCAAGAGCAGTTGTCTAAAGCCACAGGCTGTACTCAGGTAACAGAATGTGTCAGGCTTCTCTGTGGTATGTTCCAGGTGAAAATTCTTAGGGCGTGATGGTATTCTGGGCAAGCAGGAATTCCTTCCCATGCTCTTCTGCATTTCCACAGGCAGATTGCACCCTCTAGAGTTGTGACTTGTACTTAGGCTTGCAGAAGCTATCGTGCAATAGAATGCAATGTCAGTATTTGAAGCGCATATTACAGCGGATTTCTGAATGTTTCTTGTGGCACTGCTTTTAAAGCAGTAAATGAAAATTATGTTGCATTTCTTAATCTGTCTGTCAGTACAACTTAAAAGAAACCTGTGAAGTCATTCTCACAATGAAGAATGTATAACTGGAAGCTTAGAAAAGATTATATATAAAAATGAAATTATTTTTCCTCTTTTCCTTCTGTGTTTGAGGTTGAGTCCTGAAAAGTTGGTGGACTTTGTTTTGTCTTCCCTTTGAAAAACATTGCAGCCTCTTTTGGATACGTGAAGACAGTTTTGCAAAGAATATGTATGATCCAGTTTTTGAAAGAGCTAATGTCTCTTGAAATATTCTACTTCCTCTATGCTGTCTCCCAGCTCGCTTTATCTTTGTAGGATGGAGTTTTGTCCTCCAGATCTGTGACAGAATCACTGCAGATCAGTGAAGTGGAGGCAGAGAGCGGGGATGGTCTGAGCAAACTAGATTACAGTGGTGACAGCTCCCGACCAAACAGTGACATTGCTGATGTGAGTGTTGAACAGCTTAACATCTTTGCTTCTAAGCCTTTTGTTTATTTTTTTTCCTGTACAGCTTTCTTTGAGTTTGTGCTGTCCTACGTATTATTCATATGTACTGCGCCTCAGTAATGTTGTGTATTGCTAGCATAGGAAGCATACTATATTGGTCTTCAATTAAGGATTAGGAAAGAAATACTGTGGGTTTGGGCCTTTTTTCCAGGATTTTTTTTTTCCCCTGGCATATTCCCTGTTAAGAGGCAAAGAAAGATGGATGCCAAAATCTTTCGCAGAGCTGAGAGATACAAATTAGTGTGTCTTTTAAAAGCATGTTAATATTCCATTTGTGGTAGCTGTGACTCAGATCCAGGCAGTGGGCAAGTTGCCATAAAGGGGAGGAAGAGTGTTACTTCTACCAAATGAACTTCACTTATTGCCAGCAGTGAAAGCGCTTAGTCTGTTCACTCATCAGTTACCAATCTGTGCGCTCATATGGTCTCCTTATTGGATTGCCTTCACACCTAATCCTTAATTAAGATGCTAACTGATTAGTGCGAAGGAATTGAGACTCTCCACTTGGGCTTTGGCCATAAGTTTGTTGTTTAACTTAAGATGTGGGCGTTAGGCTTGTACTAGCAATTGGAAGTCAAACGAAGATGGGTCAGCTCTACCTCCAAAACGTGAACATGCATGACTCTATTAAAACAACGTGCCCCCCCACCCCATCGAGCAAGACATTGCTCATAATTGTGTATAATAAATGCGGAACAAAATTCCTAGTCATCTTCCTAATAAACTTAACCCTGCCAGTATTGTGAGTGATACTTGATTACTGAAGGTGGTGGTTAGACCCAACAATAGCATTTAAATCCAAAGGGGCCCTGAGAAACTTGAGGACTGGGGACAACAGTAACTGCATGAAGGTTAACAGAAGTTCAGAGTTCTGTAGTTGGGGTGAAATAACTCCCTGCATCAACACAGGCTGGAAACGACCAGGCTAAGTAATAGCTGCTGAAGAGACCTGGGAGTTAACAGTGAACCTAACTGAAGAGCCAGCAGCATGCTCCTGTTGCACATGAAGCCAAGTATGTACTGGGCTGCATGTGAAAGAGGGTTAGCAGCAGACGGAGGGCAGTTACTAGCCCTTTCTATAGGGCACTGATGAGGCTACACCTGGAATGCTGTGCCTGTTGTTGGGAGTCCCCCGATTCAAAATGGATGTTGAGAGGAGAGGTGCAATAGCAACGCAATTTTGCAACGCTGCTGTTATTCAATGATAGTAATTTTCTTTTTGAAACTGCTTCTGCGTATGCTAGAGCTATACATTGCCTTCTTTTTTTGAAACTGCATGTGAGTTACACAGTTTAGAGTTCAGCTGTTCATGCCTCTGCTATTCAACAGTCCACTGTGTAAGAAAAGAGAAGTTTTGTCTGTTGTGGCTGAAACATTTACCGTACAGTTTTTACTTTCCTGGCTTTGCTGGTAGTCACCAGAACGAAACTTCCTTCTTTCCCAGAGTCCTCGGAGTGGCCTGAAGGATCGGATTTATCTGGATGAGAGCCCAGAGAAGACTGAGATTCAAGATACTGTAAGTCCGAAACATAAAGCATGATAACAGCTTCTTCTGTAATGGGCCCATTAAAATCTTGGGTTTTTTTCCCTCTGCTTTCTAGATGGAGCATACATAAACTTTGCTTTAGATAATAAAAAGCAATTAAAAATGTAGGGAACGCTAATTAGCGGAATAAATGTTTATGGTGCTTAAGAGCAGGCCCATTCAAGAGATGAGAAATATATAATCAGCAGTAAAACAGCTGGAGCTAAAATAGCTAGGGCTGTTGTACAAAGTTGATTCCTTGAGTCCAACTCTAAAAGAAAAATAGTCTTTACTCTAGGGTATTCAGTCGCTACGAGGCTGGCTTTATCAGGGATGGCCTTGAGATGGGATAAACGTAGGTCAGCAGTTGCTGCCATGTTCTGTCTGTGTTGTTTTTTCCCTTGGAATGACTTCTGAAGTGCTTTTTCGTTGTCTGCCCTGATTTGTCTGACTTTGGAAAATCGTATTTCCCCGTTTGTAGTAAGATGGTATTTGGCTTCTGCCACGTGCTTAGTATGCTGAGTGGTCTCTGCAGGTCATGGAATTGGGTTTGAATCAGCTGGTTTGGAATTTCTGAATGCTTGCGGCTTGGGAGGAGCATTCTAAATGGCATCTCATAACTGATAATTTGGACAAGGTTGAATAAAGGCACTCGGGTTTCGGTTAAGTTTCTAGAGAGGGAGAATTCAAATGATATCTTTGAGTTGGTTAAAGAAGGCTTACTGTCCTTTGAGAGTAATAGCACTGTACTTCTCTTCCTTCCCTTCCCTTTTCCCATCCCAACTCGCACCAGGATTCTCAGTCCAGTATTGGAAGTCCTTCTTCCCGCATGGGACCTCAGATCATTGGAGCAGAAGACGACGACTTTGACACTGAACAGGAGCAGGTGGGAATGACATTTTCTGTAGTTAAAAGCCACCTTTTAGCCTCAGCCACCTTTTTCCCTCCTCAGCAAGAATTATTTTCCTCTGTGCCTGAACTGCAAGTGCTCCATGACTGGTTTTTATTGAGCAGTTCTCATGGGGTGAATTAAGAATTAGAGAGTGCGATTCCTTGTTACTGTTGATCCTGCTAAATAGTAGCACTTGGGCAGTTTATGTTAATATGCTATGTTTGGTATTTTGTTACTCTCTTCTTTCTTCTTTGAACTTTAAGCTTCTAGAAATTAATTTACCTTATTTAATTTCTTTATGCTTATTTAGTTTCTATTAACAGTCTCATTATTGTCACAGTAGTATTGCTGCCGTGGCTTTTAGTATATTTGTTCTGAACTGTTTTAGCTGTCATTTGCTCTGAGTTCTATTTCATTATATTATATTCATTGTGCAGGAGAGTATTAAAAAGAAGTATCCCTCTGCTTAGTTCTTCCTGGGATGTTGGATTGGCATCTCACAGGTTCTGGAGTTGATCTGTTTATATTTTAATTAAACAAATGAGCTAAGCTATCAGAACAAAGCTGCTTATTTTTTTGCACAGTAGCTGTCTTGAGTAATTCAAGTAGTTTCCTTGTATCTGTACAGATTAATGGACAATGCAGCTGTTTCCAAAACATTGAGCTCCTGAAATCTCGCCCGGCTCACCTGGCTGTTCTTCTGCATCATGTGGTGTCCCAGTTTGACCCTGCTGCATTAGTAAGATATTCTGGAATTGTTTCCCCCGGCCAAGTTTGTTGTATTAACCTGAGTGTTTCAGGGTCTCCTTGTGTAGCGTTATCAGTGTTGCTGGATAAGCAAGGAGAGAAATGCGGATCCTGTGCAGGCGTGAGGGTATTTCAGAAAAAGGAAGACAAGCATGAATGAAACTGTTTTCCTTAAACGCAACTATTTGAAAAGAGATATTTAGCTCCTGAAAGCATTTTATTCCGTGTTAGGGTAGTAGGATTAGTCGTCTGCAGGGAAAGTCTGATCCTTCTTTTCCTTTCTTTCCCTTTCCCTCCCATCCTCCGGCTGACTACAGGGGCAGCCAGGCTGACTAATCAAGATTTCTTTTGCAATCTAGATGGCTGAAGGTAGCTTGGAAGACTAGTCCAAGCAATGCTGAGTTCCTTGAAACGTGTGAAAGAAGACTCAGGGTGGATTGTTAGAAGAGTACTCATGGTGCCTCTTAATTTCTTCCCTTCCTGTTTCCCACAGTTGTGCTACCTTTACACAGACTTGTACAAGCAGACCAACTCCAAAGAGACTCGGCGTGTCTTCCTCGAGTTTTACCAATTCTTCTTGGACCGAGCTGCAGTAGGTTCCAGTCCTTTTTCTCCTGTTTAAGCATACCTAGCAAGTTGACATGAAAGAGCAAGTTCCTCCTCTCTCATGAACTGGAGGAAAAAAGAAAAGAAAAAAGAAATGTTTTAGGTCCTCCAAAATCAAAAGTTTTCTGTTAAAAATATTTCCAGTGAATACAAGAAAAGGAACAGTACGGAGCCTCAGATGATTGGTAACTCCATGAATCATGAGCAAAGCGTGATTTGTTAGAGGAAATGATCTTGTCATGTGTAAGGTGACTCCAGCTGTTATGCATTACCTCTCAATTAATAACTGCTGTATATGTTGATGTGGCTATTGCAGGGATTGGAAAATTGTATGTCTGTTGAAAAGCCTGAGAAACTTCTTTACCACCATAAATTAGACTAAGGGGTAGTAAAAGAGAGGCTAGTACCACATGGTTTGAAAGAATCCTTGTATAACGTAATATATATTGAGAATAGAAATCCCCTCCATAGTACCTTCAAGTGTTCAGGTTGTATGATCTCAGCTTTTGAGGGGATTGTACTATATGATTTGTGTTTATGTTTTGTATTATATGTTTTATTAGGGTGGTATTTGTTGTGTATGTTCTCTCAGCCTTCCTTTTCTTTTGCAGAATCTAAAAGTTCCAGTTCCAGATGAAATCTCTGTAGATCTAGGTGAGGCCCTCTTGCTTAGGGTATGTTACTTTGTCAGCTTCTACTGCCTGGGGCTGTTCAAGCAAGTTTCTGAAGCGCATGCAGGAGTGCTAGACGTACTGTATCGTGCGTCACAGGGAGAGACGAATAAATGTTTATTCTGTTTCTTGAGGAGGGCTTAATACACGTTCTGATACGTGTATACACGGGAGGAAGCATTGCGCACATCAGCATGTGTGTTTTTAGTCTAATACTGGATGTGACCAGAGTTTCTTATGCATAAGGTATTTAAGTTCATAAATATCAGCATGCAAAAGGCAGAAGGGCACTTCTGAGTGGGTTAAAGTGTGTCTGTGAGTGATTTTATTCTGAGGTAGAGTGGGTTATCCCTGTTCTCAGAGGAATAATCTTTCACTTTTTCTCCTGACTTGCAGACAAAAGAAGGCCAGAACTCATTCCCGAAGAGCTTCATCGCCACTACATACAAACTATGCAAGATAAAGTTTGTCCAGAAGTTCAAAGGCATCTGGAAGATTTCCGGTAACAGCTGTCTTTTTTGTTTAAGTTCCTACGTGCCCTCAGTCCAAGTGTCTGATACTGGGGAAATCCCACCTCAAGGAACACAGCAATTCATCTGGGACTGAATAAGAAAATAGCCCTGGAGAGGGCCTCCATGGTCACCCTGTGACCAATACTTGAGTGTTTTTGACCCTGGTGTTGCAAGTAATCATTTGCAAACTGACTGGAATTGATTGCAAACTGATAATTATTTTAGAGCTTGGATTCTTGAATCTGTTTGAGGCAATTTCAGAATATGGTTACTTAGCTGATGTTACGTAAATCCTTCCGATTGCGTTTGGGCAAGAAATTGTCCACTTTAGAAAGCTGTCATGTGCATACAGTAGAACTTAGTAATTAATTTGCCCTTCCATGTGCAGTCATAAGATGTCTATGCCAACATAAGACTGTACACCAAGCCAAAGAGCTCAGTAATGGACTGTCACGTAGCTAGACATGTCGTCTCCTAGCATAGGCTTCAAGTATGCTACGATGTTGCAAAAGGAATACCTACTTTTGCTCGACCCACATAATGGATGCCTTTTAGTTATTCTCTCCTGGTAAAAATCGTAGACCTGTACCCTTCCAAAGGCTATCCTACCTCTGCTTTCCTGTAAGTGCAGATGTTGTGGAGAAATGTCATGACTTCTCCATTTTCATACTGAAACTGAAAGTAGAACCTGTTTGGCGTTCTGAATGTCAAGAGGTTGCTTTTTCTTACTACAGGTCAGTATTCAATTTCAAGTGATGTTTCCCTCTCCTCGTGTTTCAGGCAGAAACGTAGTATGGGATTGACCCTGGCAGAAGGAGAACTGACCAAACTGGATGCAGAAAGAGTTCGTGACCGGAATGCAGTGGAGAAGGAAAGAGCATGTGCAGAGCAGATCATTGCCAAAATTGAGGAAGTCTTGTGAGTAACAGCGAATATAACTGTGGAGGTTCAGAGTGGAATCTCTGTTACTTGTCAACAGCAGAGCAAAGGAACTGGGAAGTAACAGAGATTCCACTCTGAACCTGTCAACAGCAGAGCAAAGGAACTGGGAACTAGAAGCAATGCGACATCACTACCTGTCCATTGCTTCCCTAGTTTGCTACTAACGTATGTTTGAGTAGTAGCCAAAAGTTAAGTTAACAGTAAGCTAAATAAATAGTAATAATAAATGGTAAGCTGAAGTCTATGTGTCTTTTCAAGGAGGCTGCCGTTGAACTAGCAGAGGCAGAGCTTCCCTTGTTGCCTTATGCATTACTAGATCTGAGTCCCGTTTTTTGGCCTAAACGTATCTTAACCTGTAGCTTCAGAACCCGTTTTCCTTTTAGGATGAGCTGAGTGCAGTTTTCCCAGCTGAGCCTCTGGGATTTTTAATTTTTTTTCCTGGGACTTTCTAGTATTCCAAAGGACACTTTGCACACAGTTGCTGACGCTTTGCGTGGTTGTGACTGAGTATTAATTGTTTTTTAGCGCTCTTCTTTAAATTCTCTTTTGTTTTCAGGATGACATCTCAGCCTCTGGAGGAAGACAAGAGGTAATGGAAGTTTTGTGGACTTAGTCTGTGGAGTAAGAACTCCATTGCTGTTGCTTGTTCTGTTGGCTCTGTCTTCTGCTGAGCGAAACAAGACAGCCCTCTGCTGGCTGTAGCCAACTCTAATTTTCTAAATCTGATGACATAATTACCTTGAATTCAGAGCAGTTACTCTCAGCTTCTTAGTCTGACGTTTGTTGTTTTTGTTTCAGACCTAAAAAAGAGTTACTGTGCTGAGAGTTCCTCTTTTTTTTTAATTTTGTTTTCCAGCTGTTTCAGATTGGTCTGACATATTTATGCTCTGTACAGACACCTTGCCTTGTTCAGCTGGTTTGGCACCATGCGCTGTCTGGGTAGCTTGTGCTATGCTCTGCAGTATAGCTTTTACTGTTACTGATTTTTACTGTAACTCTAAGCTATAATAGAAATTCAAATATGTATTTAGTATATCAGTTTTAGACCTTCTGTGTAATTTTCAAAAATTTTTTTTACCTTTTAGGCAGGTACATCTTTTATATACTGCATCTTTTGTTTACAAGAGGACAGTTCTGTTATTGGCTGAATCTATTTCACATAAAGAACTGATGACAGTTTCTTTTAATCTAAAAAAGGTTACTTTTAGCTTTTCAGTGGACTCTTTGCATTTGATGTTTTTCATTACCTTGACAATGTTTTTCCCATTTCTCCTTATCCTCCATCTCTCTCTCTCTCTCTCCTTCTTCTCCCTTTTTTTTTTTTTTTTGGTATGTATTCTGCAGTTCCACAATGCAGTATGTGATTCTTACTTACATGAAACATCTGGGAGTCAAAGTTAAAGAGCCTCGGAATCTGGAGCAGAAGCGTGGCCGTATTGGTTTCTTGCCAAAGATAAAGGTAGCCGTGTCTTGACCAGAGTGTATTTGTTTAAAGGTGTCCGCTATGGGTGTTTGATTAGGTTTCAAAATTCTCTTTTGCCTAACACGTTAGAAGTTGGTATGATTTTGCAGTCTTCATTGCATCAAGAGGATCTGGGATTACTGAGCTTCACAGATAGTCTAACGGTTGAAATGAGTTTCGATGTATGTTTGCAGACATCTGAAGTAAAAAGGCTACTCGTTTTTAATTTCTTTATCCATCTATCTAAATTCTAATGGCTTACTTTTCATAGTTCAGCCCTTATAAAAACTTTGGCTGAAGAGCGATTCTTATAACACAACCTTGAATCACTTGTGGATCTTGTTTAGGCTAATCAGGCTATTGGCCTCTCTAGTTTTCTTCTTAAGAAACTTGGCCAAAAACTCATGCTTCATAATGAAGGAAATGCACTCTCCCTGCCACCCACGGTGCCCCGGTTATGTAATGAATTCTTTCACCAAAACTCCGTCTCTGTGAGTGCGTTCAGTCTTCTCCCAAAGGATGTGGGTGTATGTGGTCACAGTAACTACTTAAGTTCATCAGTGTTCCAGCTTCTTTCGAAATGTTAAGGCTGTCATGAGCAGTCCTGCCCTGGCAGTGTGAAAAGGTTAGATCGAGCGTTAGCAACTCTTCCAAGGTGGTGTGATAAGTCGTATTTTTCTTTCCCAGATTAGAGGCTGTATGCTTTTGGATTTTTGGAGTCACAAGATATTGGCCCTTATAGAAACAAGGTGCTACTGGTCACATTAAATTGGTCTCTCGCCCTAGGAAAGAGAACGGTTTCTAGCTCCTGCTGAGTTGGAAACCAAGGTGTGTGTTTTTTGCTTTTAACAGATGCATCTCTGAAGATGCTCTGGCTCCCTGCTGCTAACTGTGTTGTACGCCACTCACAGTCTGCCTGTATGCTGCCTTTGTCTCTTACCTTGCAGGATGCTGACCCCTGAATTAGATGACTTTTGATACAAAAAACTTCTCTTACATATCAAATTACTGCAATTCTGAAGTTAGTCAATATCTCAGTAAATAACGGAATCTGACGAAACGAGTTACCTGTTTGCTTATTTTTGTTGTTGTTGTGTATGTATTAACTGCAGCAGAGTATCAAGAAAGAGAAAGAAGGAGAGGAAAAAGGGAAGAGAAGAGGCTTCCCTAATATTTTGGGACCACCAAGGAGACCGAGTCGACATGATAGTAGCGCAAGTATGTTGGACAATGAAATATATGTTACCTAGCTACTAGTCTGAAAGCCAACTGAAGCCTCTGCTGTCCTTTAAAAATCCATGTTACGAAGATTCAGTAAGATTTAGATTTTTAAAACAAATTTTTAAAAACAGATAAGCCTAATTTATTAGCTGTCCATGAGATGCTTCCTTTCTTGATTGCTAGAAACAGGTAAAAGCTCTTCCACTGGTATAATAGCTCTGTCTTTATTTAGTTGGCAGAGCCATGGAAATGCAGAAGCAACGTCATCCAAAGCACTTATCTACAGCCTCTTCTGTTAGCCCAGAGCCACCAGATTCTGGCAGGCTGCGCCAGAGCGGGTCCTCCAGTGATGGACAAGATGCAGTATACCCACCTGCCAACCCCATGTCCCCTTTGGCAACGGGTCCCTTTTCCTCTCCAGAAGGAAGCAAGGACAGCGAAGCGGGTACGAAGATGTTGGTAAAGAGGGGTTTAAATGTTGTGTTGCAAACAGGATATATGAAACACAGAAACACAGAATGGTTGAGTTCAGAAGGGATCTTGACATCATCTAGTCCAGGCCCCCCGCTCAGGCAGGGTCAGCTAGAGTACCTTACCCAGGATCGTGTCCAGACAGCTTTTGAATATCACCAAGGAAGGAGACTCCACAACCTTTCTGGGCAACCTGCTCCAGTGCTCGGTCACCCTCACAGTCAAGAATTTTTTCCTCATGCTCAGACGGAACTTTCTGTGGTTCAGTTTGTGCCTGTTGCCTCTTGTCCCGTTGCTGAGCACCGCTGAGAAGAGTCTGGCCCCGTCCTCTCGACGCCCTCCCTTCAGATACTTATATACATTGCTAAGATCCCCCTGTAGGGATCTAAGATCTTCTGTAGGCTGAGCAGGCCCAGCTCTCTCAGCCTTTCCTCATAGGAGAGGAAACTAGGAAACTAGACTCTGCGCCACTGATCACAACCCTCTGAGCTCTGTCATTCAGCCAGTTCTCAGTCCACCTCGCTGTCCACTCATCCAGCCTGCGTTTCCTCAGCTTGCCTATGAGTATCTATGGGAGACAGTGTCAAAAGCTTTACTGAGATCAAGGTAGACAACATGAAGTGCACTTCTGGTCCCAGAAACCGGACAAGTTAGGAGATGTTTTCCTTTCGTTAGTCGTGATCTTCCTGGGTGTTTAGTCATCTTATTCTGACTTAGTCTCTGGTTCAAATCAGGAAATCTTATTATGGCCAGAAATTGTTTTCCAGTTGCTTCCAGCATGGTGACGTTGGATCATCTTGCAGAAGAAAACAGCCTCAGGCTCAGGTGTCTGCTCTTGTAAGCACAAGTCTGTCACCTGGAAAGATTTTTTCATGGAGATTTTTTTTTAGCAAGGCAGGAGTTAAGTTCCTCCTGCCCTGAATTGAAAAGAGGCTGTGATTCAGAAGTTCTCTGATGCACTCTGATTTTGTACAGTTCTTGACAGTTCTTACTCCTTCTCTTTTTAGGCTTGAAGCAAACTGGAGAATCTCTGCCTTCTAATGATTGTGTGGATGGCACACCCCGCACGCCTAATACTACTTTTGAATTCCCATCTCCTTTGGAAAACTTGCAGGAGGAGGAGGGAGAATCTGAGAGGTAACTCTGGGTGTCCCGGTTGCTTGAGCCTTGGAAGAGGGTGGATGTGACCAAGGCCACTGAAGCCAAGTCTGTAAAACTACTAGTAGCACGGTTTATATTAAGCATTGTTAGCCTACGTAGGAAATGCTGGTTTGCGTCTAATACTGTGATAGGGTAATAGAAAGCTCCTTGTAGATCAGGAAGCCTAGACTTGACAGATGGACAAAACATTTCAGTTAGAAAGTAGGACTTTAATCTGGAGTTCTGCTGTGGCTGTCCGAATGGGGTGAAATTCTGGCATAAAGTATTCTTATAACAACTCCTTTCTGTCTTTGTAGAATGATTGACATGGGAACACCAAAGACTTTTCGCAAGTGAGTATGCTTATAACTGTATGAACTTCAGTGAATCTGTTGAGATTTTAGTCAGCTTTAAAGGACGATACGGTGATGTTCATTGTTCTGAACCACTGCAATCGCCTACGTGATTTCTCCTGTCCTTGAATAACATGTATGTGAAACGAGACACTGGATTCAGATACAGGACAGGTGGAGGTAATTATATGCAGACAAGCCCTTTGATCTATGAGTGAAATAAACTGATTGTTGTATGAACAGATTGGAACGGATGGGTTGGGGAATTGAGATTGCCAGTTTTCTTTCCAAGTCGGCGTGTTGCTGTTAACTCTGTATCTGCAGAGAGACAGGGAGAAGAAATTGTTAACCTGCCCTTTCACTGACTTGCTATTTCACCTTAGGCAAATTACTTTATCAGTACCTTGAAAAGGAGGGATATGAAAATACTGTATGAATAGGTATTAGTTCTTAGTCAGTCTGTAAAGGGCAAAGTTATAGTATGTGCCTGTAGCTTCAGACGTCTATCAGCCTACTGGGGGAGCATATTCATAATGCTTTACAACTAATATGTATACTTAGAGGTTCTTCTCTCTCTTCCTTATGCCCATGCCTAAAATGGGAGGCATCTGACAGATATTTTTTGGTCTTAGGATGGACAGCGTGGGTTTTGCAGATGTACAAAGTGAAGATGAGCTGTATGATTTTGACATGGACATGGACCCTTCCAACTGGCAGCAACTTGTGAGCCGGGAAGTGTTAATGGGGCTGAAACCCTATGAAATCAAGCGCCAAGAAGTGATTAATGGTGAGATGGATATTCTTCCTAGCTCATGAAACACAAAGTTCAAGCTTTTGTCCTGTGGATCTCTGAAGTTGCTGAAATTTAAAACTAGGTCTTTCTTCACTGATGCTGGCCAAAGGAGGAGCCAGCTGTTGCTTTCAGAGTTTTGCAGAGTTTGGGTGTGTGAAGTTTGTATATGCTACTGAGAAGTATCCTGATACGAGACTGATCCAGTCTCCAGAGGGGAAATACTCAAAATTAAGTGGTTTGACCCCGAAAGGCCAATTTTGCAGCATTCTGTTCTATAAAAGGAAACCAGAAGCGCTGTCTGGATTGCTGGAAGGTGCATGATCTGAGTGGACAGCGACTACCAAGCTTCATCTTCAGAACTTTGCCCTAATTTCAGCTCCTGCAGTCTTGCAGAGCACTTTGTGTGGCTGCATGAGCTGCTAAGAGATCCCTGTTTGTTAAGGGTAAATTAGGATTCATGAATGAATTGGCTTTCCTGTTCTTTCAAGCATGGAAGTATAGCAGAGCATGGCTCCATTCCTGAGCAAACCAGAATACAGACCAGCAAGGCCAGTGTAGATGACAAAGATTTCTACAAGTTCGTGCTTCTGAACTTCTCTGTCCGAGTTTGATCCAGGATTTGAATCCACATTGCCCCAGCTATTTAAGTCAGTAGTTGTAACCCTGTCTTCCCCTCTCTTCAGAATTGTTTTACACAGAGAGAGCTCATGTCCGCACACTGAAGGTTCTGCATGATGTCTTCTACCAGCGTGTCACCCGGGAAGGGATCCTGAACTCCAGTGACAAACGAAAAATCTTTTCAAATCTGGAGGATATCCTTGGGCTTCATGGTAAGGACAGAGGAGATGCCTTTCAGCTTTGCAGTCTCAACAGGGATTGTGGATACAGATATCTGAAAACAAATTATGCAGGTGACCCTGAAAGAAGAGAGGCAACCCCATATAACACTTCAGATGGAAAAGAACATTACAGATATTCTTCTTTTTGCATACACTGATTTACAGAGATACTTTGTTTAAAAAAAAATGTCTGTGTCCAGTGTTTTGGATACTTGCTTTTGCTTATCTCCGCACCCAGGCACTTTGTGCTGATTCATGCATTGATAGAAAGAGCAATGCTTTGCTGAATGGTCGTCATAGGGCAGCACTGAAAAAGTTAAAACTGCTGTTGAAGAGAATATGAAAAAGCCTTAAAAGATTGATGCCTTGCAGGTGGTTTTGAGGAATGTTTAGAGGAATGTTCCTAATGTTTAGAGAAAGGATGGTGCAGAATCAGAATTTCAGCTCTGTCACTTGAGTAATCAGCTGTATAATTTTAGGCAGGTGGCTTGCAGTGTGTTACATTCTCCCTGTGTTTTTAAAAGGTCAGTCATACTGAGCCTCTGAAAAAAATAAAGCTTGGGGTCGTTTGAAGACAGTTAAGACAGAAGTGCAAAGGAGGTATATAATATTTTTTTAAAAGTTCTATTGCATCCATTACAAGTTACTGCAAATCTGGTCCTCGCCTAGAAGAGTTCTTATTTTAAAGTAAACGCTGAACTTCAAGCGAACAATTTAGGCATAATAACATTTTTTTTCTTTCTTTCTTTTTTCTTTCTTTTCTTTAAGTTGCATTGAATGATCAAATGAAAGCTGTCCGAAAAAGGAATGAGACTTCTGTTATTGGCCAGATTGGGGAGGACTTGCTTTCCTGGGTAAAGTGCTTTTTTTTTTTCCGCTTTCTTATTCTTGAAAATAAATTTCCAGAAAATGATAAACAGAACCAGAGATTAACCAAGATATAATTCCCATCTGATAGGAACTGAATGTCTGACAATCCACCATTTCTATGATGACATAGAGCTAGAGACAGAGCGCTGAAGGAAAGCAGGAAGAACTCAGCATAGGATTTTAATTCGGCTAGAGTTAAAAGAATCATTTTAAAGAAGAAAAATTCATTTCCTTACGATGTGTGAGTTGTAGAGTGATGAAGATGAGAGTAGGATTTCAAGAAAAGTAGTAGGGTATTTTATTTCAACAGCACTAAAATATAAGTCTTGTGTTGCTTGTGGTGGTGTTAACCTTAAAAATACTAGTTTCCGATCCTAGACTGTGTTAGAATTTACATAGCAGAACCTCTTGAAATTTAAAGCAGTGTTAGAATCTTCCTCTCAGATTTTTGAGGTGCAAATGACAGGAGCAAGAGTGATGAAGATTGATTGATTTAGTAAATAATCTCAGGAGTCTTCCAAGTTTTGTTTGTTTTTTCAGCCTACTTTGTTTAAGATTGAGAAGTGATCTGCTTATTCTTTTCAGTTGTTCGTGCAAAAGTCTCTTGTTTTTATTTATCCCACAGCTTGTCTAGTATTCCCGGGGGGAGCAACCCCAAAGATTAGATGTAGCTAGTAGAGAAACACACCCCAAACTCTCTCGGTTTTCTCCTGTGTATTATGAAAAAGCAAAAAATACCTTATGCATTCTTTTTTCCCTTTGCATTTTTTTTTTTTTTTAAACATACGTGGGTGAAAGGTTTGGAATATAAGCAAGCTGGATGTTACAAGCCAGTAGTTGTATGTCCCTGAATAGTGTTCTGGCTAAGTGGCTACTAAAACCAGAAGAAAAAAAAAAAAAAGAAAGAAAGAAAATGAGTGTTTTCAGGAGTTACTAGGCTGTGTCACAAACTGGGTACTAAGAATGGGAAGAGGCTCGCAGTTGCAGTAACGGATTAGCCATCTGTCATCTACTGCACGTTTCTCAGTCCTGTTCTTGGCTATCCTTTTTCCTAGCCATGTTTCTGTAAGACCTGCATTTAGGAAATAAGATGTAATGCTATGTTCTGGTGTTTAGCCATGGGTGGCCCTGAGAAACAGCACGACTTTTGGTCACGACTGTGCTGACTAATAATCTGGTAGATAATCGCTTGTCATTCATCTAAGTGTAGTTTTTTTCTGCTCTCCTTATGGCTGGCAGTGGTGACGTGGCACTGTATTCTCTCTGAACCAGTAGCGTGTTTAAGACCTTGCAGTATTTTTGTTATTAGTGTTCATAGGAAAGACATTATGAAAAGGGTTGGATATGTTAGGGGCAGAGAGAAAGATCTGGAGAGTTTGAGGTGCAAAGGGGTTCCTCAGTAGAATGGGAAGAGGAAAGCTTTCGAACAGGATGTTTAAAATGTTCTCTTCCATGGAAATGAGTTCTCCTATTTTACCAAAGCGATTTCTTTCTTCCCGTTTGAGACTAGTGCTGTTATGCGGGCTGTATGTCTGATCACACTGGCACATGCTGAACTTGCCTGTGTCTAAATTTGACTTTCTTGGCTTTTTGACACAGTTCAGTGGACCAGCAGAGGAGAAGCTGAAACTTGCAACTGCCACTTTCTGCAGTAACCAGCCCTTTGCTCTAGAGGTCATCAAGTCTCGTCAGAAGAAGGACTCTCGCTTCCAGACTTTTGTGCAGGTGAATTTTAAGCAAGGGTTTGAGCTGCCTGAGGATGTGGCTTATGGCCAGTGTAGGATAATGAAGGGCTATGGATAAAATTGTTATAATTAATGGGGTTATGTCTAATGTTGTCTTCAGATCGGGGTCATTTCCAGTGCTGTGTTTATCTCTGCTAATCGCTTCAAATTGAGGAGCCTTTAGTTCTGAGAAATGCAGGATGTCCTGATAGAATGCCGGAAAGCAGATGCTGTCCCAGCCAGGAGATGACATCTCACTTGAGATGGTTGTTTTCCAAGGGAAATGAGTACTTCTGTGGGGAAAACTGTTTGCAGTACTGCAATTTTAATGCATGCCATAGGCAAAAGGCTGATGCGGTACACCTATTCCGCCCACCAGGAGAGGGGCTGAATATGCATGGCACTTGGGGAGGAGAACATTATCTTCATTACCACAGGCTGGGGAGAACTCTGGTAATACAAGGGTTGAGGTTATTTTGAAAAATGTGCCGTAGTTTTGCTGTAGCGTGAGAGGCTAAACTGATGTCTTGCACGTATGGCAGTGACTGAGATTGATCGGAGTGGTATGAGGCCACCGTGAAGTAATGAGGGAAGGAAGCCGCTGCTTTTGTGATGAGCTTTTCCTATGCATAATTGCAAATGGAGAGGGGATGTGTTGTCTGAATGATAAATCTTGGCATTTCTTGTCTTGTATTTAATTACCGGAAAGTGAAGTAATAGACGTTTATATGATGAATAGATGTTACGCGTTCAGGTAATTATAGTCTTAATAAAAATGACAAATGTAGTTATTGTGCTGTTTAATTTTAGGATGCTGAGAGTAATCCGCTGTGTCGACGGTTGCAGTTGAAGGATATCATTCCCACTGAGATGCAGAGGTTGACTAAGTACCCCCTTCTGCTGGATAATATCGCTAAGTATACAGGTAGAGTATTTCCACTAAGTAGCCAGTGCATGCGTCTCAGCAGGTTTTCTAAGCAAATGTGATTTCAAAGTGTATGTTGAAGGACAGTTCAATTTTATCAGTTGCTATCTGTTTTCATTGCGACCTCACTGCTGCCTACCTTCTTCACAGGAGGACAGGTGAAAATGTGTTATTTTAATAGAAGAAATATATCCAGTCTTTGTTTCTGAATTAAGCTCCTTTTTTCTAAAGGGAAAAAAAATTTGACATTTGATTTGAAATAGGTGAATGACTGTCTGCATTGGGTTATAGTGAGTGTCGAGTGCAATATAATCATTTAAAAGTAGATTAAAAAAACTAGGTCGGCATTGCTAAAGTTGTGAAGATAAAACAAACAGCTGTGCTTATGAAAGTTACTGACAAAGCAACTTGATTTGCTATTAGTTTTTTAAGAAGGGAAACAGAAGTTTCTGATTGCCTCCTCCCTACTCTCTGTTTCCTAGTCCCTTTCTTAGTTTTCCAATGACTGTTTTTAGTTTTTAATGATTATAATGAGTAAGTTGAAGTGAAGAAGATATTTTCTTTGCACCCTTAATTTCTGATTGTATATAAGTACATGATAATACATGAGAGAATGAGCTATTTGTAAGGATTTTTGAACTTGCCATGTGCGTTAAGACCAAGGTCTATCTAGCCAAGTCTCTAGCAGTAGCCGAAAGTACGTTCAGAAGAAGAGGATACAGAGAAAAAGGGCAAGTATAGAGCAACTCTTCCTTTATTACATGTTCTGAAAACCCAAGTTTAGGAACTTAGTGAGGGGCAAGTTGCATCTGGACTATTGTTTTCAATAGTCGATAGTGTGCCTATTCTTTCTGGATACGTCCAGGTATATTGAACTTCTTTCTAAAAATCTTGGAGTAAGAAATAATTAGAAAGAATTCAGTCACTAGGGATAATGTTTCATTGGTTTAAAATAAATTAGTTTTCAATAATAAACATACTCTGATAAACATTTTTTTTTTCTTGATTTCAACACATGAAAGTAGCTTAAATGGATCATTTAAGAAAGCACCTTTAAGTGAATTCAGATTTCCATGTAAATGCACTTGCGAGGGGGGGGAAAAAATAAGGCCTTCCAAAACCAGACATCCCTAATTGTTCATTACTAACTTAAAACTGTGAAAATGAAGAATCCAGATAAAAGCCTGTTAAGTTACTCTATTGTTAAACAAACATTGATAGAAATAGCATGTACTTGTGAGCGTGGAAGGAAAAAAGGGAAGCGTTACAGAATCTAAGCAAGAATCATGTAGTGTTAAGGCTTATGGGCAAAACAACGTGCCTCTTCAAGAAGAGAATAGAAAGCTGATAATGCAGAACAAATTGATTTTCTTAAAGTCAAAGTTTCCTAGGTATCGATTGCGGGGGGGGGGGGGGGGGCGAGAGCGGGGGTTTGGTTTTTAATCAGTCCTCACTAGTGAGCTCTTGGACTGCTTGTTCAGAATTCCCAATCTCGGGAAAGAATGCGCGATCAGAGTGCAGTCTCGCGTATACCCCAAAATGATGATTCAGAACAAGCTTAATATCGGAAAGCTTGAATGTTATCAATATACTGTTTACTAAGAATGTGAAGTAGTTTGAATTTGTAAAGAAGTACTGTGCTACACAGTAGAGGCCAACAGTGTATTCATGTAGCTGTTCTTATCTGTTGAATCTCTTAAGGTCCTACAGAAGGTTTTCACGTTCCTATGAGGGATGGAATTTAGCTAAGATGTGTTGTACTGAAAGATATTTCCAGAGTAACAGGCAAAAGTGTGATTAATAATCTCACAACATGTCTTTTCAGGTTTACTAGCAGAGATCTGCTGCAGTGAAATCTCATTACTCGTACAAAATACACTGCATTTTCAAGTTCGCTCTGATAATAGTTAAGAAAGCATGTGATACTCCATTATCCTTGATGTACTTGTTTATTTGCCTGTTAACTGAATTCATAATGTGGTTTGTGTAAGTGAGAATCGATGGAGTTTACCTGTGTGTATCTGTGTATGATTATGCAACATTGGCTGGGAAGGTAACTCTTGTTTGCAGTAGAGGGAGATTCTTTTTTATAAAGAAAATCGACTGGTTGTACGTGGCCAGTGTGTGGTGGGTTTTTGTTTGTTTTTTGGGGGATGGGGTTTTTTGTTTTTGTTTTTTGTTTTTTTTGTTAAATTAAATGCAGGATACTTGAATGGAAAAATATATAATGTAACACAGTATTTTGGGGTGTATTTTTTCAGCTGTTTCTCTCTTCCAAAAAAGAAAAAAGAGAGCATTCAAAGAAACTAAGACAGAAACGAATAGTAAGTTGCAGAGTCAGCCGCTCAGAAAAAGATGAGCACAAGGATTCAGCTTTGTGGACTAGCTTGCTGTGTGTCATTTCAAATTATCTACACTGATACTCTCTTGGTACCAGAATGGAGTCTTAGATAATTTTAAGTTTTTGGAATGCTTCTCAGATTCAGGTTTGTGAAGCGAGTAGTACTTACTGGACAGTTGTCACAAGCCCCATCTAAAAAGCAATAGTTACAAGTGCTATCTATGCTGTATGATCATCCTCTGAGGCCTGTGTCTTGTGCAGCGCAGACTGAATTCCCTCCCATCCTAAATCGCACTTCATCATTTCACTTTGAAACGTGATGCTTTGTTGATAGGTTGTTCTGCAAACATAAGCTGCCTCTCTCAGATTTGAGGTCGGCAAACTGCACTAGATTTCTGGCTCTTTTCATCCTTCATTGGAGAGTGTTTTTACGTTTTCTTATTCTCTTGCAGAACTGCCTGAAGAGAAGGAGAAAGTGAAGAAAGCAGCAGATCATTGTCGTCAAGTCCTTAACCACGTGAACCAGGCTGTCAAAGAATCTGAGAACAAGCAGGTAGGAGGGGAACCCAGTGAGCATCAGGGACTGGGAAGGGGAGAAATGAAGGGAAATAATCTATCGAAGACACCTACAATCTTTATACTTGTGACTTGTATGCTTGTTGTGATTAAAGGTGCTTTGTGGCATCAGTGTTCCTATGAGAGCAGGAAGTACTCATGGCTGCCTGCACTTTGGCTCTCCTGAGTTTCCTAAATCAGTGACCAACTTCATTACGTATTTTCCAGCATTTGGAAGACTATCAGCGTCGTCTTGACCTGTCCTACTTGAAGCAGTCTGAGGATCCCATGATGGATGAGTTCAGGGTGAGTGACAGCATTGAAGAAATTGCTATGTGAGTCATGTTTGCAACCCTGTTGCTATGTTTGTGGCTCTTCCTACTACGAATTCAGATGTGCAGCCAAATGGTCTTTGGAGAGAAATGTCGTTTCTATACGAGAGGTAAACAAAATGGTTAGATTTGGTATCTTCCTAAAGATCTCTTCAAGTTCATGCTACAAATAGAAGCCCTGATGGAGCTTCTAAGTTCCGTGAGCCACATCTTAATGGACTGTGAGCTATTGCACTTCTGTATCACATCAAAGATGCTTGGTCTTACGGAATCGTCTTACGGATGTGTCTCACTTGATCACTTTGTTATGCTGTCAGAACAGAGAAGGCCCCAGAGAGCTGTGAGGTGTAGATTGTAGAAATGCAAGTGGTTTTGAAAGAAGAGCTTGTATACGGATTGATTTGTATAGAAGATCCACACGTTTAACCAGGTAGAAAATTTAAGTCCAGTGTTAAAGCACTGTGTTTCCTGGCCCCTGTAAATTCTTACAGCGGTGTAAGTGAAGCTGGTTACTTGCCATAGACTGCTGTTAAATGGAACGGGCAAAACCACATCTTTAGGACAGGACTAACTTGATAAAATTTCCATGTTTCAAATGGATTAAGAGCACCAGGAGGTTCATGCAACTTGAAATAAATCATTTGTTTTCCTGTTTGTCTGCACGTCTGTCTTTCTATCTCGAGTAGATGGCTTCCGCACAAGGACCCTTCCCCCTTCCCTTCTGCCCCTTTTCCTTATGTTTGGATACTTGATCCCCACTTTCTCAGTACCAGGATTTTATTTTCTTCATTTTGACGACTACCTATGCCTGTATCTTATCTAAGTTCCCTATCATTTGTTTATCACTCCTCTAACTTCCCCATGGTCACTGTATATCCAAAAAAATTTCTATGAAGACTTTTCTATAAAACTGTATCGTGTAGTCTTCCACAAATAAACTTGCAAGCATTTAGTCAGGAAATGAGGAACTTACTGGCAGTTAAGAAATCTTGCTGTCGTTGATTTTAGGCTCCGATACTTGGAAGGAATGACTTGTGAAAATCGTCACTTTTACTTGCCTGCAGATCTAAATGTCACAAGCAGTGAAATGATTGAAGAATCCATTGACATTATAAAGTCCACCAGATCATTGGAATGATTTGTATATCATTATGTCATTTGTAGGCATACTTGACTTGCAAATCGAGTGCTGAAGCATTAACCTGTTGTAATACTAGAGCTGCAAACTTCACGTGAGATATTGGAGAAAGTCCTCCTGGAAATTAGATGACCTGCTAATGCCTTAGGAGCTTGACGTAGAAGGAAAATTCTTTACTCCCTCACCCCCAACATCTGCATAAGAGCAGATAAATGACGAAGAGTGATAACAAACAGCACTCACAAGTTTTGTTTTACAAGTGTACTCCACTCCTGTTCCACGTTTTTTTTTCCAGATTGGATTTAGCTGTTAGTGTCCAACCTGGAGTGCCTATCCATATCCTTCCCTCTGACGTTCCAGTGCTTTCCCATAACTTGCTTCCGTAGAAGTTTCATGATGCTACTTTTTTTCCTTCCCCTGCTGACAGAACCTGGATCTAACTAAGAGAAAAATGCTTCATGAGGGACCTCTAACTTGGAAGGTGAATCGTGACAAAACTATTGGTGAGTCCTGTTCTGTCTAGAGTTGGGTTTGTGTGCATTTGCTGAGAAGGAGGGTGAGAGAAGGCATATCTGCAGTTTCCAATTATAATTCCTATTGCTGCCTATAATAATGCCTGTGTGTTTCTCAGAGCTGATTAAATTATTCTTGTCAATTCTGAAATGTGCTGGAGTATCATTAAGGCCGTGCAGGGACGCAGCAGTCAGTCATGAGATGATCCAGTCCCATCTGTAGCTCTCTGCTGTGGTTTTGATGAGGAGGATTTGCAAGCTTTGCCTAGAATGGCATAGCACTGATTACTGCCTCTGCATGAGTAATCGAAAATGCAGCCTTCTTCTTTCTGCAGGAGTCTGATAGAAAGCCATGAATCTTTAACTCATTCTGGGTTCATTTGCACTCTATCCAGATCTCTATACTCTGCTTCTGGAGGACATTCTGGTGCTGTTGCAGAAACAGGATGATAAACTGGTACTGAAGTGTCACAGTAAAATCTTGGCATCCACAGCTGATAGCAAGCACACCTTCAGTCCTATCATCAAATTGAACACTGTTCTGGTTCGTCAGGTGGCAACAGGTCAGTGTAAGCAATGGGGAAAATGACAATTAAATCACTTCGGGAGCGATGCTTTTGTCTGGAGTTCCAGAGTAGGACACAGAAAAATGCGTAGCCTTAGTTCTTGTCTGTTCAACATCTTGCTTTGTGATGCTGAATGGGCTGCGTTACTTAACAGTATCAGTTACCTACGTATGAAAAGAGGTAATAGCATCTGTCTAGATATGGTATGAGTTTTGAATAGGCTTATAAGTTAAAGTTCTCTGACCTTATTAGGTGCAAGATACCATAGCAATGAAAACTGTTAGAAGGGAAGCGAGGAGAACTAAATCTGTTTCCAAGTGGTTCAAAGAGTAACAGCTCTTTTTTTTTTTTTCCGGTGCTGTATTGGGAAAGAATTATCTTTGTATCTTTGTCGTAGCATTAGAGAGTTATTCCACAAACTCTTCTTTCATTGCTTCTGGTTGGGATTGTGCTTGGTGTCTAGGAATTTTCAGAAAACTCTGCAGAACGAGGCATCTAATTAAATTCTTCCCTCCTTGCATTGCTTCAGATAACAAAGCTTTCTTCGTCATCTCCATGTCAGAAAATGGTGCTCATATTTATGAACTGGTGGCACAGACTGTTTCAGAAAAGAATGTGTAAGTAATTGGTTCAGCTCCATCTGCTGTTTTGGTTTGATTTTTTTTTTTTTTGTACTTGAGAGAACTTTTACATCTGCTTGCCTGTAGTATTGTGCAGGTGTTACCCAAGTTCCTTCTCTAAGCTCAGGTGAGAACATAGCTATGTTCGCTAATGTGGGAAGTACCGAAGATGTGGTCTCTCACTACTTTTTAAAAAGGAGAGGGAGGTTGTATACTCATGTTTTAGTGAGCGTATGTGTACGTACACACACGTGTGTGCATGATGTAGTATGTATATATACACAAAGTATAGTATGTGTGTAGTACGTGCGTATACCCACAGAGAGTATAGTGTGTGTAAATATTATTATTAATTTCTTTTAACTCAAAGATGCTCTTTCTGCCTTCATGATTTGATGTTATGTGACTGACTACCAGATAAGTCATTGAAATCATCCCACATCACCATGCAGAAATAGTCTTGGGGACTTTGATACTGTCATCATAAGCACCCTAGTGCGTGAATTTCAAACCCTGGATAAACTCTTCTTCCTCTTTGGTACAAATGCTTTTCTGCTACGGTATAAGCAGGGCACCGACTTGTTTGTATGATATATATCAACTGTTTTAGAGCATCATAGATGCAGCTGTTCAGTAATATGCGAGAAATGTTACTTAATGCCTTCCTATATATTTGTGTATAAAATAACTGCCTCACCTGACAGCTCCAGCTAAGGTCCCGCCTTTAATTTCCTTATGCTAAAGAGCCTCTATCTGGTGAGGTGAGCATTAAGCTGTGGCGCTTCACTTGTGCCTGCAAGACGTTACTGAGGCATTGACTGTAATAGATTTTAAAAGAAGGATTAGACGTTTCTGTTGGTAAGAAAAGCAGTAATTACATTAGCTGGATTTTAAAAGTGTCAAGTGCAGCAGTGTCATTACGTTTCACCTCTTGCATGTTTTTATTTGATGTCTCTACTGCAGATGGCAGGATCTTATAGCTCAGATGGCAGGGACTGTAAAAGTGGAGGCTACCAGAAGAGTGATCCCGTTACCGCAGTCAGGACCTGGCGAGTAAGTGAAAGTAGCTGGGGAAAAAGGGTTGGTTTTCTTTTCCCAGTAGCCCCTCTTCTGCTCAAAGATTGTCAGCCCAAGTGCTGATTTTCCTGCAGCAATTCAGATACACGTGACTGAAAGAATGTGTTTGTTCTTTCTTCCCTGTAGAGAAGAGCGTGAAGAAGAGGAGCAGCAGAAGCTCAAAGAGCAGCATGACATACCTGCCAGCAGTCTGCAAAGTCCAGGTGACAGGAGCAGTAAATTTCCTACAAGGAGTGCAAATGTGCCAACCCATATTCCTTTTGTGTTACGGATTTTCTGGTAGCATTGATGTTTTTCTGGAAAGCAAAGACTTCTTAGCCAGTCTTGCAGGGAAGTCACGCACAACCTATTTGAAATATACGTCTTAGTATTTCCATCTGTGTTACAAATTGCTGGAAAATATTCTTTTCTCTGTGGGGAAAAAAAAAAATCCTTTTACCAGAGACTGTGCTCAAGAATTTCATTTTTTAGTGTTTTTAGGGTTGTCCATGTAAAGCAGAATTTTCTGCAGTTTCACATCATACTTGAAATAGTTGCTTAACGTGAATGTATGTTTTGTATTTACTAGATAAAGATTTGGGCCTTGAATCTCCTTTGATACTGAACACTCAGTCGTCTTCGCCCATCATGTCAGAACAGTCCAAAGTGGAAAGTCTTCTTGTGGCAGAAAGACAATTTGATAAAGTGCATCAGGCAGACCTGTCACTTAAAGATTCTTCTGCATGCTATGAACACACAACCACCAGTTCACCTTCGGTATCCGAGGGGCAATGGGCACTGGACGCGTTAAGGAACTGTAAGTATCTGTGGGCAGTATGTGGTAGGATGTGATTTGGATATGGGAATTGTTAGGTCAAGCATCTTAATGAGCTAAAATAACATCTCATGTCCAGTTTTATTAAAATAAGCATCTCTCTGGGCTGCAGATCACAGCATAGCTAAATAAAGTGGATCTAACATGAAGGAATTTTAAGTTCTAAATTCATATACTGGCCCTTGCTTTGGCTTTAGGCAGTCATCTCATTGTTTTGTTATGATTTTCCCATGTATAAAGTGAAGGTAATAATGAATTGTTACCTAATGTCCGTGAAGTACTTTGACAAAATTACATAGCAGAACTTTGTGCAGTGCTTTTGCCAAAATGCAGAGCATTTGTATCCTTGGCCTAAATTCCTTCTTCCCTCTCTCTCCACAAGAAGTGACTGTTTTCAACAATCGAATAGTTTACTTTGGGTCTTCTGATCCATTCTGAGTTTCTTTCCTCGTAGGATTCAAAGTCCTTTTGCAATTCTGAATGCTGTACAAGCGTTCTTAGTACTTGCTCTCAGAGACCAACGATAAGAGAATCTTAGTCTGTGGGGTATATAAAGTTAATACCAGTGGCGTAACATCTCTTGGCTACTCAGACTTAAAGAAGCCATCTAACAGCAGGACTGGGTCACTTGCATTTTGACGAGAGAGCTCATAGCTTTTCTAGGGTGTTACATGAGCATTATATGGTGAGAATGAACAGTGTTCTGCTGCTCTTGGCTGTATCTTGTCTGTGTTTTGAACAATGTGTCCGTATTTTAAAGTGATATGTTGGGATAATTTGAGAGCTAAAGGAATGTAGGTTGAAGTTCACATAAGTATAAATTGATATTAACTTTTTGGGAAAATGTGTCTTTAATGTTTTGATCTGTCATTTCAAAGTTGAATGAATGAAATATTCTTAATGTGCTTGTTTTTCAGGTGAGAATCCCCTCTTAATGCCATCATTTTTAGTTCATTTGCGATGAGGGTGAGGGGTAAAATCTGGGCGTTCACCTGTCCTGTCACTCACTCACTCAGAAAATTTTAGTAGAATACCAAAGCTATCTTCCCCTTAGCAAGATGGGACTTATAGTGCTGTGGGTTGTCCTTGCTTGCAAAGTGAAACGGGGGGGTAAGGCGTGGGTACAGGGCTTCAGACTTCATGTATTGCTTTTTACCCCTGTCTTCCCTGCCAGGAGCAATGAGAGGGCTGGCTGCTATGAGGCCTCTCTTTTTGAAAGAGCAGCCTTTGTGTTAAAGCTTTGTGTTAGTCAATGTTAGAGAAGATATGGTCTATGAAGCCTTGTGAACATTATCTCTACTTGCAGTGGACTTGCTGAAGCAGTTGTTGGTACAGCAGTTTGGCTTTTCTGAGAAGGGGGCCCTTGAAGACCGGCAGCGCTTTCCCAGGTTTAGGACTGTTTCCCAGGAAGCCCATATTGAGAGTGGAAATGAGCGTGGACTACAGCGCTCTGACAATGACAAATATTCCCAGCCTGGAACGGACGGGATGCTTCTGAGAACCGGAACTAATGAATCCATGGCTAGTTACGGCCTCCGGACTTCAGCTGAATCACCGGCTTCAGGGGATGCCATGCAGCTTATAGCGAGAGACCCCAGGTCAAGTAGTAACCTAGCAATAGACCACACAAATATGAATCTGGAGATCTCAACCACAGAGCTGGAAGGGGTGGGCACTGATGAAAGCGGGGAACATTTTTTTGATGCTCGAGAAGCTCACAGTGACGAAAATCCATCTGAAAGCGAACTAATGGAAAGGAAGGAGGAAGATGATGTGCAACTTCGGATCTCAGGTGAGCACATTTCATTCGCTCATTGAATGACAGTCTGTCCTGATTGGATATTGGAGACTTGAGTTCACTGTTAAGTAGAAGATGCATAAAGAAAATCACAGTATGTTTTCCTGGTGAAGCCTCTTTTGCTAGTATGGTACAGGACATTTAAAATTAGCTCTCTAGTCTTTGAAAGTTATTTTAGCCCTGAATAGGGCTATACAAACACATACCTAATGAATTCTGTATTTTATGAGAAGAATAGCTGAAATACCGCGGGGTTAATACACTGTGACAAACCATAATTACGGAGGTATAGACACAATGCAAGCTCTTGATTGCTGTTACTGCTGGACCACATTATCTCTAAGCTGATTGTTGGGACTTGTAGGGAGAGCATTTTCCCTGAAGGCAAAGAAGCGCTGTCTTAGTCTATGCACACAGAATCCCATGACTCAGGCTATTTTGTAGCTATTCTATTGGTTTCTTCTGATTGAGCTTTGAAAAAGAAACTCAGAGTTTAGCTTTGCATTGTCATTGTGCCCTGTGACCTAACTCCCAGTCTGAAGTTCTTAAAAACTTATTTTTACTATTATTATTACATATGCTATATTTAATGGTTACCTGGGCAGCATCTCAAAGCATATCCCTTCCACTCATCGTGAAGGTTTTAGAGCTGTTAACTCAGAAGAAAGCTAGCTCTAAGACAGCAACTGTAAGCACTTTCATGGGGCTTTGTGTATGTTGTGTTTGCAGAGTCCTTTGATTCCAATAAGCCAAAGTGGTGACACCGCACTAAGTTTAGCCCAGAGGTTGTTCACATGAATGTTGTAGTAGAAATGGCTACTAGTAGGTAGATTATATATGACTGTTAGTCTTGAAATCACTTATCCATAAATATGTTTTTATTTAAGAATTGAATTCCGTCAATGTAAACTAGCCAACAATTCCTGACTGTCTGGATCCAACTCTATATTGAAAATCATTTTTCTTTCCTCGAATCACTGGCACATTTTAAATTATTAAAAATGAGCCAACGTCTTGAAGCATCTAATTTATTGGTCACCTCTTAGGCTATTTACTTTCTTAACTGTGCAGGGACATCAAAATTAGATTGGCTTGTTTTTAGCTTTACTCTAATACTGTAGAGAAATCATTTAGAACGATTCTGTTGCTAGATGCAGGTTTTGAAAGCATTTTTGTTTATAATTGCTTTATAACAGCTACCAAGTATAATTTGCTAATGATAACCTATCTAAAAGCGTCCTCAGTACCATAACTAGCAGAGAGAGTTAACAAATCCAGCAGTCGGATTTGTTAGGTACCGTTAATATAAGCGAAAGTTTTTCGGACATCATAATGTGAACGCAAAGTTGGGAAAAACAAAAGGAAAGGTGATTAGCTCATCTAATGAAGTAATTCTCAAGCTGTAGTCCACAAACCGTCCATGATCTCTGAAGCCCAATTCAGAGCCAAGCTAGTCTGCTCTAAAATAATCCCTGTTCTATGTAGTATTCACAAATGCTTTTTCTTAACCATTTTAAAATGTCTCAAGAGATGGATCTTTCAACACTTATCTATCTTAAAGTCTGCTTAAACTGTCTACAGTTCAGTGGTTCTCGCTGGTCGTTGAGCTGGAGGTGTTAGTAAAAAGCTTGTGCTCTTAACAGGAAATTATTTGATCCTTGATGGATATGGAACAGTGCAGGAGAGCTCCACAGATGAAGAGGTATCGTCTCTAGTTCTCCAGTGCGCTGCAAGTGGCCACATCTCTTTGGACTCTGCCCGGCAGCAGCCAGTTTCCCCGCGGGACGCCCAGTCAGATGGAGGAAGCTCCCCGTTTGCTGAGGAGATGATGGTCTCACGCTGGGGGGGAGTGGAAGAGTCCTCCTGCTCAGTTGTAGCAAGCCCTCACTTCTCTATAGAGTCGCGTATGCAGATGATGCAGTATATTCAGAAGATAGAGAATGACCTTGAAAAGTTAAAGGTATAGTGTGTTTCTATTTGCAGTATTCAGGATTTTCATATTCATTAGGCTTTGTTCAAAAAAGAGTTTGAAAATAATTTTGAGGGGGAAGAAAGTAAACTGCAAGAGGACTCCTTCCCTGTTGTTTGTGAGAGCAGTTGTGTCTTTTTCTGTCTTTGGCTCTTATCTGTGGAAGCTTTTGAAGTGACAACTTGCTGTTGTGTTGTTTGCATTAGATTCTGGGTCACAAGCAAGTAACTGTGTGTAAATAGAGGTAGGAGATATGTATGTTACTTCGATGCAAGTTTGCAGATGCAGGCTTTTCCTGAGGGATAGGACAAACTGATGCAAATCTGCAACCATGGAATTTTGAAGGGACTGCTGACCTAAGCAAAATAAGTAACTGACATAAAAGAAGCTTATTAAATACACTGCACATTGCTGCTCATGTCAAGTGAAAGTGCTGATTTGCAGCAGACTAAAACTCATTGTTTCCAAAATGATTTTTTACGTGTGTTGGGAATTCCCTATCCATCATAGCCATCTCTGTTTGTTTTAGGAGGTTGAGGAAGACTACACCATTCTCCGTCGCCAAGGGCTGGCTGGATCAGCCTCCACGGGAGAGCACTCAGGTACGCAACAGACCTTTGCTCATTGAATATCTGTAAATTGATAGCATATACCACGCTGGCTTTAGGCATTAACCAAAGAGCACAAAGTCAGTTATTAATATTTCACCAAAAAAAAGGTTTTTAGCTACTTCAGCAGCTCCCACAGGGCTGAGACCATGAGGCCGTTCCAAGGAAGGTCAACGGAACCCATTTAAACACACAGGTGTGGAGGAGCCTGTTCTTTCCTCTGGAAAAGCTGTTTGTAAGCCGGAGCGCCCCTGCCTGCCAAAGCCCTACATCTCAGGATGTGCAGCTTCTCTTTCAGAGAAGGCCAGATTGACACAGAGTCCCGAAGGTAGATTGTTGAACGTGTAAAATGATTTCAGTGTCTTCTCCTTCTCTGTGATGTTTCTGTATGAAGTGGTTGCCACAGGTCCCTTTAAATTGGCCTCGAGCGTCGTTGAGGTGCGATTCCTAGAGTTATTAACAAAGATCTTCAAGTTAAATGTGTGCTGTCCCTCACACCGTGCTTTCTCTGTTAGTACTGTGTGTTCAGAAATGCTAACCATTCGTCTCAGTGTACCTTCTCCCTCTCTTACCATCCTTTTTTCTCCTTCAGATAAAAGTTAGTCACGTTTCCAGAAGTGGCTGAAGGTTGGATGAAGAGCGTCAGGACCTAGCACCCACTGTCTTCCATGTGGATTCTGAGACCTTAGGGTTTTGTCTGTGGACCACCAAGTGTGAGCCATTCTCTAACACAGTGGGTAGGGGGTGCTTTTCCTGTGGGGCATCTGCACTATCTTGTCAGTGAGGGAGTCTCTTCTATTCTACTCCTCCTCTCCTTGTTACCAGAAATTCATTTTTGATTCAGAACAGAAAAACCAAACCAAATGTACAGAGCTTTGGGTGTAGGATATAAAAATGTATTTAGACATTTAAAAAAAAAAATCATTGTATTTATTTGACTTCATTCCGTGTATCAAAAGCACATTTTAATTTTTTAATTTGCCTTTCTTGTTTTATTTTAATTGGGTAGTAGCAGTTCTAGCCCTCTGCATATAGTACACTCTGCCTCCAGCTGTTCCTGAACGGGTCAGGTCTGAGGGAGAGGGTGTATCTGTGTGCACGTGTATCTTTACTTCACTGGACTGGACTCTGCACTCCCTGCTGGCAATCAAACTGCCATGCGAAGAGCTACTTATGAAGATGTTAAGATGACTTGTGGCTGGAACTGTCTGTATTCAACAGTTGCATGGGAACTGCTCATGTCATCGCATGTGTAACAAGAATTTTCCATGCGCTAAATAGCCAGGCACTTGAGATGGGCAAACTTTTTTTTTCCCCTCTCCCATTAGGGGTCTCTTTTGTTGACATGCAGGATCAAACTGGGAGAGGAGAAAGATGGGTTTAATTTTTTTCTTGACTTTGTTGGCTTTGATCATTGTCTCCTTTGTAAAGTGATAAAAAATACTTGGACCTGCAGCACTTTTGTAACTCTTCTCTGGATCAAAAAGAAAAAATGCAAACCCAGAAGTGTTTCAAAGATGTGGGACAGATGGGTGTCTGTCCCTGATTCACTACTGAATGAATAAGGGCTGCCATTTGAGTTAGCCACAGGTACTGCTGATTATAGGGCCAGTAAATTTTAGTACCTGAAGGTATATCTTGCTGAGGGCTTGGGGTGTTTCCTCCTTTTTTTTTTTTTCTTTCTTATCTCCTCTCTCTTTTTTTTTTTTTTTTTCTTCAAACACCAATTTGTGCCAATATATTCTTACTGAAACAGAGATGTGCAAAGCAAAGAAGGCTAAAACAGCTCTCCAGTACTTCCTTAGGCCAGTTCTAATGGGTTTTGCTGTTGGAATTCCTTCCAGTCTGGGAACAAGATGGTAAATGTCAGACTGCCAGAAGAGCTCACGCTGGATGGCTTGGGGTGGTTGTGCCTGCGCTCTAAAGCTGGTCCTAGGGCAGGCACTTCCTGCTTGGTGCAGAGTGATTCAAGTTGTCCTCAGTGTCACAGACACCTTGAATCAAAGACTGCTAGTGGAAATTGGGTAAGGCAGTCTTTTTGCACCCTCTTTCCAGGTTTTAAGCTAATTAACCCAAACTGAAGAGTATGCCAGACCTGTAAATCCCATTAGCATGTTAGGACTGTTACAGCATTGTTTGCGTTACTGTGTGGATCATGAAGTGCTGAGAATCTGTCTTTGGTCAGCATAAAGATCGTACTCCCTGCTCCATTAACACAAACATGTTTTCTCTTTAGCTACTGGCAGAGAATCAAATCTGTCCTTTTTCTACTCATGTGTAGCGAAAAGCAGTTCTTGCTCCTACCATTAGAAAAATGCAAGGGATAAGTTCGTATAGACATTGACACAGGTTGAGGAGAGATGATTTGGGGCCTGGTGTGAAAGCTGGAGCCATGGGCCATTATAGAGCAGGGAGGAGTTTCTCTTGCGTTAAGAGCCAGTTGCACAAAGTATAATTTTTCACCAGCGGGAGCATTTCGCTGCCAACCCAAGCCAAAGTGGTCTCTTCCATGCTGGCAGGAGCTTCCTCTTCCCTGTGACCCGCTAAGGCCTGTCCTGTTGCACCTGCATGAATATACTGTCAGTATTAGCCAAGTGCTTCCATTGTTCCACGGGTGGGATCTCCCCTCCTCACCTTCAGCCATACGGTTGCTTTGGTTGTAAATACCTAGACTTCCTTTAAGAAGCCCCAAAACTAAAATGCTGCCTCATGCTGCTTTTACCTGATCCTGCCAGAAAGAGAACTGGGCTGTAGCCAGACTTGGTGTTTAATGCCCTTCTTCTCTTACAGAAAGGACTCTTGTTCTTCCACCCCCCACCCCCCTCGGTCAGTTGGCATGATGCCTGTCTGGGACTATACACTCCAGAAACAGGAGCAGTTGTTAAGACCTTAGCTGTCTAAAAGCTTTCTAGCAGTTTCCATGGTTGATTGAAAATCACCATTGAACTCTACTAAATAGAGAGAGCTTAGTCTGGGTTTTCAAGGGTATGCTGAAAGAGCAGCAAAGACGGAAGCTCTGAAGGCCTGGTTGCTTAGGGCTCTTTCCTTGTGATTGAAGACAAAGTCCCTGGTTCTTTGATTTTTCTTTGACTTGCGTGAATTCTGAGGTTCGTGGTGAGCCGCATCCTGCACGAGAAGTGTGCAGCTGGTCTGATGGGCCATGGGGGAACAATCCACACATGCTGCTTCTGGCTCTTCCGCCTTTGTGCAAGCATTTTGGAGCATCACCCACCGCTACGTTGTTTCATCCCTAATAGGTGTAGCACCAGTGAAGAAGGTGGGAAGGCAGAGTATTTATACTTGCATGTCATCTGCCCCTGACATTTCTGCCTCTGGAGCTGCTGGAGTGGAAGTTTGCCCACCATCCCCTAATGCTACCTTGGACGTAATGCAGTAGGAGGTGAGGTGCAGTTCTGTCCCTGTTGCCTCTCAAGATGTATAATGGGAAACATCTTCCCTCTGTCATGCTAGTGGTGATGGCAGAGAAACCTTCAGGATGGGTCAGATACCTCCAGACTGCAGAGAAAGATGACCCATTGGGACCCAGTTGTATGGGAAATATAAAATGGCATGCTGTGCTCTGACCTGTTTGGGTTTTGTTTCAACTGGTGTTCTCATGCTACGTCGATTATTCTCACAGATAGGGCATTAATCCTTTCTGGAAAAATGATGCTGGGGCCAGGGATCCTTTATCTTCCGAGTGCAGTAGCCTGAAATAATGGGGGATTCCTTTTTGCTCCCTAGCACACGTACTGTATGGTAGACCTCAGGCCACGTCTTGCTGTGTAGAAGGAGCTGGAACTCAAATGCACTTTTCAGGATTCACACTTTTTGTTTCCTTTCAGGCCATGAGATTGCTCTTCTTTAAATTCCACTTTCCCGTGTAAGGGAACATTTTAATTTGTGCCTGGCTGGTGATTGTACATTCCCTTAATCAGACTGGACAGCAGAGCAAGACACTGATTTCTGGTTTGTTTGTCCCTGCTTCCCCCTCCTCCGTCCCCCGGAATTTTTTTTTTCCCAAAAATAAATGCCCAAGGATTTCTTATTTTGGGAGCAAGGATGTATTACAACAACCATTCTTTCATATTCTTCTGAGAAGTGCTTTCTCCTCTGCTATTACGGGATCTCATTCACGGACCGGAAGAAGGTGGGCTGGGTACTTTCTGGAAGGGGGAATTTCCTTTGACTGTAGAGGGGTAGAAGAGCAAATGGCAAACCAGTGTTTGATCACTCCGATTCCTTGATCAGGCCTTGTCTGTAGGGAGGGGAGATTTCTTTAACATCCTATAGTTGGGATCAGAATGAAGGATGAGGAGTGTAAACCTAAAGAGCTAAGAAGTCTGGATGGTTTTGGTCAGCTTTCAGACAGCACTATGCCTATTTACATTGTTTTCATAAAGCACAAATATTCCGATTTACAGATGCTGTCCCTGTTATTAGAAGAGGGGTCTGTTGCCTCTGCAGGTGACCCTTGATTATAATCTCAGTGCTTGATGGTATCTGGTATTTTGTCCCTCTGTTCCCCAAAGAAATCCCTTATTTGCCTCTCCCTCCCCCAAAGGTGCCAACCGACAAGCAGATGTACTGCAAAAGGGATACTGCAGCCAAAACACTGCTGTTTTATTTTGAATTAAGTCTTTTGGAGCTCTCTTCGTACTAAAATATTTTTATTTTCTTTGTACAACATACAATCATGTACTCTTAACAGAGATTTACTTTAAAGAGAAGAAAAAAATCTGGAAGTATTCTTTAAAAAAAATACACGAAAATCTTTATTAATAATCCTGTATTTTTACTGATCATGTTTGAATGTCTAAAAAGACTTTATTGTTCTAATTATCCAGATGTATGTTTGTAAAATAGCTCTTTTATGACTTAGCTGATAAGGTTGTATGTTTCTGGAAATAAATATTGGTCACTTAAAAAAAAATCTGTTTTCAGGATCTGGGAAATAGAAAATTTAAGCGTTTCAAATATCATTAAATAAGCTTAAAGGAAACAAGTTTTGTCTGCTGGGTTTTTTGCGGGGTTGTTTTGTTTTAATTGCCTATAGCATTTGGCAGGACAGACTGTTGCAGAGACAGAAGTTGATGGGCAGAGGAAACTTCCATTTGGTACAAATGACCTTTCAGAATCTGTTGATGCTGTTGCAAACGTGGGCATCTTTTTCTCCCAGTTAATGCATTTTGTAACACAGTTCTTATTGATTAGTAGCTCTTCCTTGGAAAAAGTGAGAGAGAGCGAGAGAGAGGTCCTCCTGCCGGTGGCAGCAGCGATGCCCTGCTATGCCTAGCTTCGTGCGGACTCAGCCTGTGCGCAGTTGTGGCAAAAGATTTCATGCTGCTGTTGTGAGAGACAGCGATGCTTTTGTTGCCTGGTCAAGGTGAAACAGTTCTGTAGCTCCAAGCCCCAGATTCTTCCTCTCCTGCTGTGCTGTCTCCTGCTAGTCTCGAGGAAAGAAACGTTCAGGCCGGGCAAATAACTTATGTTGTAGTTGATGAGTTCACTCTAGCCATCCTCATCTCGCCCCCCTCCTAACCTCGCGGGTAAGTACAGCGCAAAAAAAGGATGTTTCTGGACTCAGCAGTCTTCCCGCTTAGGGCGCTTCTTCCATCAGTGTATCTCACTTTGTGGGTCTTCTCCAAATGTCTGTGTCCAGGATCATCATTTTAAAAAAGAAAAACATCCCCAGAAGTCTGCTGAATCTCAAGAGAATTTAATCAAATGTTAGAAATTAGGACATCTAAGGTGTTGTGTCCAGACTTTCAGAGATGACTGTACCGTGACCTGGTGAGTATCTAGACCTCTTCTGAAGTCATGTGTGCCTCCTTAAAAGTATTGAGTACAGTTCCAGTTCAGTCAGTAATCAAATGTTTCTGTGCCTGTCACACAGTAGACCTGTACTACTTTGATTCTATGTGTCAGTGTAGTCTTACAGCAGTCTTAGCTGAGGGCTGTAATCCAAGAGGGGTGTGTTTGTATATACTGTGTAGTATAAGGAGTATCATGCTAAGCCAGGGCAAAAGAAAGTTCATGAAATAAGTAACTGCTCTCCTCTACAGCAGAGCAGTGCTCGTTTGGGAGAAGAGCTGCCTTTTAAGCAACGATAGTGTTTAGTTCCTTCCAAAATGCAATCTTTATTGTTCAGGGAAGAATATCCCTAGGCCTCCCTGTTAGTGTTGACCAGTAAGAAGGAATCGATACAAAATATCTGACTACAAGAGAACAAGTTGGCCACTTGATGTAATTTTAAGAATGATACTTCAGGAGGTTTTCCATGGTAAGTGACCTCTTAGTTGTGTTTTGCACAGCTTATAATGCACTTGTGGCTGTTCTGTTGGCTTTTGCAATAGTTAGGAATGACTTGAAAGTGGAATTTTTCCATTTATAGTGGATTTTCTACTTACGTGCAACCCCCACTGTTACTTCACTTTTTGTTTGTTGATATCTCACGCTTCACATCACTAATCAATTGAATGAGCACTTCAAAAAATCCACGATAGCTCATAATGCTCTGGCCCATCTAATCGCCTCGGACAATGAAATCAGAGCAGTGAGTTTGACTTTGTTTCGAGTCACTTTTGTGTTCCCGTGCTCCTGCGCTTTACCTGCTGTAGGGGTTGCCTTTGAGTTTCTAATTTGGCATTTTTAAACCCAACCAGAAACGTTATACCCTCTAATTAAATAAGTTGATTTTATTAATTTATAAGCGTTCTCTTGTTTTTAAAACCAAATCTAACTATTTGGACGTTAGGAACTGTCAGACGTAGCCTTTCAACGTGATGCTATAGCTTAGTATCTTGCAATTTTCATTATTAAGTCTTGCTGGACTAATTTTGCCTGTGAAGCTTAACGGCAAGCTTTTACTGTTCAACTAAAAGGTTGCAGCTTTATATCAAATGTCTTTCGGATTCCATTGGGCTTAGATGATAGTTTGCTAGTGTTTTGACTTTATAGATGTCTTTTGGTTTTAAGTAGTTTGATTTCTTCGAGCAAGACCTTCTTGAGACTGACTTCTGTGGAGCAGTCACGAAGACAGTGGATACGTGTGAAGTGATGTGTGTAGTAAAACAAGACGCTCATTTTTTTTCCTCTCTGGACTCTGCTCTGTTTTACCAACTTAGAGCTTCTAGAAGTTGAAACTTCCATCCTGTGCTTGACAGCCCTTGCCTCCTTTTTACAAGATATGGGATAGAGTGCTTACAGGGCCAGGCACGCAGCAGAAACTATGTTTTCCTGCTTTGTCTATTGGTGTGTGGGAGCACTTGAGGCTTTTCGTTTCCATCCATTTGCTGTTCTTTTTTTCTTCCAGTAAGATAGAAATTTGAAAGAGAAGCACAACTGAAAGTTGCTGTTGAGGGAACTTGCAGATTTTTTAATAGGGAACATCTGTTTGAAGAGTTTTATGCCAGGGCCTCTGTTTTGTTGTACTATCTGCAGAGGATACTTGACGTGCATCCCTATCATTTAGTGGTGTTCCCGTCCCTACCTTTTGACTTCTCTGGTAAGTGATGTACTCATATTTCTGATAAATGAGCTGATAAAACATAAATGAATAAGAAACCAAAACAGAAAACAAACAAACAGAGACTAATTCTGGTATTTTTCCAAATGTTTAGACTTTTCTCTCTCTTTCTCTCTCGCTCTGTCTCTCAAACACATACACTCTGTGTCTCTCTCTCTCTCTTTTTTTTTTTTTTCTTCTGCAATATGCCTGGGAAGCTCCTTGAGAGATTACTTTATTATAATTAGTAATCTGAGCTTTATTATGCTTCCCTAATGATGCTGTCTGTGTTTTGCCTATTTAAATATTATTTTATAAGTTCCCTTTACTGCACTGCTGTAAATAAATGATTCAAAATAAACAACTCAGGTTTTGCTTTGTCTTCTCCTGCCCTTGAATCCCAGCTAGGGATGGGAGAGAACCGTACTGCATCTTTTAAGGCTCCTCCGCATACGAGATCGTGGAATCAATCTCTCCTTGCTGCCTGCCGTGGACAGAGAAGGACAACGCGAGAGAGGATTCCAGGAGCCTTATTTCATGAGTGTGTGTCGTTTCTGGGTTACGTTATTTGAAGCATTGTGATCATGTGGCATGGCTCCCAGGAACATTGGAGGGTCTGGTAACATCTGTCTGTTAGTATATCTAATGTGGTAACGCCCGAGAGTTTCAGTCAGGACTAAGGACTTCAGTGCGCTACAGGCTTCACAAGACCATTTTCTGGGCAGGAGAGCTTGGAGTCTGAGTGAAGTTGCACTGTGCTTGGGGATGTTGAGGTGCAGACAGCGCTAGCTGTGTCATGCATCTCCTGTGCATTCCCTTTTTCGTGGAGTGATCCTCTAAGTCTTTGCCTGTGTGTATTTGCCAGGCTTGCTTGTACACCCAGGGATCCCTGTTACTTTTTGAGCAGTTAGGAAGACAGTTCTGTCCCTCACCGCCATCCCGAATGGCAAAAGAAGAATTTTTTTTCTGCTTATTTCTAGAGAACGTCTTTGATGACGGTGGCTTTTGTATTTTCTGAGGACAGTCTGTAGACCACCTTCTCTTCCTACGATTAGTCAATGGATTTGGGGATTTTTTTATTGTTGTTTTTCTTCCCTTAAAATATTTAGGAAGTTTGGACTAAAATGGAAGTTGTCTAATCTGTGGCATGTATTCTCTGCCAGTTGGTCTGATTATTGTGAGTGAAGATAATCACCAGAGGAACAGATCCAGCCAGAGCACAGCTCACAAAAATTGAAAGCTTGGATGCGTCCGCTTTAAGTGTGATCCAACATTTAGATGGTAACTGCCTGAGTGTAATGGTACAGTATGGTACTGGCATCTAGTGTACATTTGTGTTAAGACGTCAGCTTAGTGAGTCTTAAACTTCTTAGACCCCTATGTTTTAAAGAGGAGGGTCGTGGCTGCTGGGGTTCAGGCGGCCAAAAGGTTTGATGCGGCTGTGCGCTCTGCCCTGGAAAGGCGGGAGCAGCGCTGCTCAGAAAGTGAGAGAAGTAATGAAGTAGGGAACCAGCA